GAGATTTTCTTATGTCCTTATATTTAGTTTCCCCATATAACATTTGAGGTATATTCTGATTGAAGAGTTTGAAGATATAATATGCAAAGCTCCGTGGGAAATAAGAAATCTTTAAATGCTAGATTTTCATGATTCTTGGCTGGTTTCCTCTGAAAAACAGCTGTGCGGTGCCACTTCCGTATGCTCTGGGCCTAAGCTGTCGACCTCTGAAAGAGATTGATTTAGACTAGGAAATGAAGCAACAAGCGCAAAGTCTCTCAATGTTTCATGAACTTAGCCTAGCAGCAAGGAGTATTGCAGAAGTGGCTTCAGCCGCTTGCTGCATCAATGGAGCGCTAGTTCAATTGCATCGCCGGAATGCACGGCTTGATCCACACCGCACCGACCCAAGTCGTTCGGCTGCTGTTCCGATTGAAACGCCGGACAAGCTTTCACAGGTTTGGAAGAGCTACATCGAGGAGAGACATGGTCAGGAGGTGTGGGCGCAGGCCGAAAAAACTAGCTTTCAGTCAGGGCTGTGATGTCGTTGTGCAGATGTCAGATGGCCTTGATTGCTTGCGCAGGCTCTTCAAGATTGCGGTGTGCAAGACGACACGGAATTCCTTGAGTTCAAGCAGCACGAGGTCAGCTGCACTGTCGCCCTGCTCCCCATGTGGTCGGGAGTGTGGAAGCAACGAAGGACAAGCTGACGCACCACGTCATGTCGGCCAGCATCCGGGCTGCCGGCAGCAGTCTCGAGGCCAGCCAACGCCCCGGAGTGAAGATTTGGCGAGGCACCTTGGTGTGTTCTGCATCTTCCTCCTTCGAAGAAGTCTTCATCTGAGGTTTGGAGCTCTTTGGTGCCTTCTTTGTGCAATTCATGGTTCGGCAAGGCGGATGGTTCACGTCGAATCGCATCTCCAGTACAAGCATACTATCGGGGGCTAGTGCGTGGCACCCACTTCGCATCGGTTCTGATGGGTAGGTTGAGGCCAGTTACGGTCATACCAGCAGGGCCATCGTCATCTGCGGCAGAATGGCAGACAGCGGGTGGGGATCAGCTTTAGCCTCCGCAGGCTGGACTCAATGGTTGCAAGCCATGGGAAGCTCCTTGGAGGATGCCGTCAGTGCCACAACACGAACATGGTGAGCAGCAGCTTTGCCACGTGAAGAGCCAGGAGTTCGTGCAGAACTTGAATGACATGCACCATGACCCTGTCTCAGCATACAGCGTTCTTGAACTAGAGCAGACCTTGAAGTTGCAACCTCTCTGAGGTTCTCGAACGTGATTTTCGTTCAGCCTGCTTTCCGATATTTACTGCATCCCGCGGGTGACTTACCTTCATCAAATCTTGCATGCTTGATGGATCGTGGTCGGCAGGTTCTGAGGAGGGCGACTTCTTTCTGACATACAGTCAGTTTCCCAGAATGTTCGAGATGTGCACCCTGTTCCCCTCCTGCAGAGCTGAGTTTCTGGATGTTGCCAAGGCTCCTCCAGGTTTGTCCCCAGCCTCACGAAAGGCATCTCGAAAGCAAGACAATGCCAAATGCGTCATGTGCTGACCGCAACAGCGCAATAGCTCCTCTCGGGAGCCTGCTCGGCTGGGTGCCTCTTTTTTTCTGGAGCGGCTTTCGTGGTTGTGGTAACAATCAGAATCACCATCGCCTAGCGGCTCGCCTGCAGCATTCCTCATATCCCACGTCAACACGTACTTTTGTCCGCCTCGCCAGTGCAGAGTGTATACTCAGGGTACCATTTTGTTTTTATCCGTTCTCGAAACACTAGGAATGCATCCATTGTGCCTCAGTGTCCGACAAGCAGCAGCTTTAACTTCATCGTCCGACGGTTTCCATCACTCTCTTCCAATCTGCGTCCCTTTGGCCTCCCTCGTATCTAACAAAGCTTGCTGTGTTCAACAGCACGTCGAATGAAAGCACGGCTCAGAGCTATCGAAGATGTTTGCGGCCGCTATCGACGGTGGAAATTACGAAAATGGTGGCTTCACTGCTTTGGGCCAAAGCCGTGAAGGCAGAGATTCGTTGGAGCACGCAGAAGGCATCAGAAGGCTAGGCGGCTAGGCCCGGCGTGACCTCCCGAGGTACAGAACACTGCATCTGAGGTAGGGGACACCTAGAGCCTCGATTTAAGGGTGCATTGAGGCGTTCTCCGAGAAGTAGCGGCAGTTCTCTACAACGCCGGAGCCCCAGGCCCAAATCACTCCAGAGCCCGCAGACAGTGCAGTGCTCTGCAGAGGTCCACGTGGACTTGCTGAAGACCGGCCCCGTGCCGAGCCATCGCTTAACGATGCTCCGCCCTCCCTTCATCCCCACGTGGAAGGTGGCGACGGGAAGACCGAGATCACTTGGAAGGCGCTGGCGGCTGGGGGGAGTGAGACAGTCCCTGAGTGCCTCGTACCTCTGTGAGGTGGTCCAAAGCAGCCTGAAAGAGAGCTCGGGCCTCGCAGTGCCTCGCAGTTGGCTTTCTGTTTCTCCCTTCGACGACGCGGATCTCGTCAGGCCCTTCGGTGGCCTCGCACCAGCCAACTTCGGTAAGGAGCACAGCGAACCGGGTTCCCATACTTGGAGATCATGGGCCTGGGAGGCCGTCGTGACACTGACACGTTCTCGCTGTGAGGCCCTGGCTGGTTTCAGCTTCTTCGATCTGCACAAGGCACGGCTCCTACCGCTGCGGGATCCGGGGACAGAGAGGCTGAGGCTTCCCTTGAAAGAGGTGCTGGCCGCTGCATGCCGTGGCACGGATGCGGGGACCTTCTGCCAAGCGGAAGCCCCAAAATCGCCGTGCATTGGCGAAGCCCAGGTCTTCGGTGGCTGCTGTCGGCAGGCTGGGCGGGCTCTGTGGCCTCGCTGTATGCCTTTGCGCCGTGGGCTCGTCAGGAGGCCGAAGGGGCAGAGGTCGTCATCGCAGCGCGGGAGCAGGCGGCATGCTCTGAGACGAGACGAGTCTAAAAACAGCCCCCCCAAGCCCAGGTCGACACAAAAGACACCGATGCTCGGTCGAGGCACTGAGGTACCTTGCACTGGCACAGCTCAAGGGTTGAGTTTTGGGCGGTCAGGCGCCCCTCTGACTGCCAAACGAGCTTCTCTTACAGCAATGCCCTCGATGCCGAGACTGTCTAGTCCTTCTGCGCTAGGATGCTCGCCAAGAGGTACGCTCGATGAGGATGTCGATGTCACCCGGACAACCACACTGCAGGCTGCATCGTGCAGTTAGTCCAATTCGGAGGGTACCGCGTGTCGCGTCCTCTTGCTTGACAGGATCCCGACTCCCTGCCGTCGGTTGCGAAGATCCGCCCGGGGGCCTGGCTGAAAACCTGCAGTTTGGGCTCTGTTCAACGACCAAAACACAACTCCTTGTGAGCTCCAGTCTGAGGTCAGAGGTTTCAGATTCCCACAAGCTCCAGCGTTCTGCAGTGGCTTGGTATGGGGCCCAGCCCCACTGTGGCGTTGCAGGTGTGACACCTCTGCCAATAGCCCGCTGTCTATGCCCGATTCGTAGTGCCGTGATGAGTTCGTGTGTGAACGTTTGCCTCGGCAAATGCTCCGATCCGTGCAAAATCGCGAACGTCGCCTGCGTAGCCTGGCTTCCGCAGCTGCTTTGGCTGCGCACAGATTTTGCGTTTCGTCTCTCTGCAGACATTTTTCAACACTCTTTCCTCAGCCGTCTCTCAGCCGTCAGCCGTCTGTGTCTTGAGGACGGCAGGATGCCGACCGGCGCCTGGAGCTGGCCCCGGCCCACAGAGCGCGGGGAAGGGGAAGGGGGGGCACTTTCCAGCCCTTCTTCGGCTCGTTGTTGGATTCCTCTTAGGCTCGGATGCTCCAGCGGGCGGTGCCGGCAGGGCGGGCCCGGTGCCCAGCTCTTGGCTTATCTTCTTAAGTCTTTTTTCCTTCTTTAAGGTGGCCTGTCATTGGTACGAGCTCAGCAGCTGCAACGATGCGGAGTACACGAGCGACTCGCCTGTGAGTTTTCCCGCGTTTTCGCGCTGGAGCGCGAGCTTGTGCTTTGCGGAAGGCTTCTGGAAGCCGCAGCTGAAGAGCGAGGACTGCACACCGCTCCCTGCGGGGTGGGCTGACATGGCTGAGAGCCCTTCTGTCGCTTTCCCTGGTGGCTTCTTACTGTAGGAGTTCTACCTTTGGTCGGAGAGCTGCCGCAGCCAGGTCTCCGAGTCGGAGGACTTGGGGCACGTATACGCCATAGGCCATAGGCCATTCGAGGGGTGGACGCGGGAATTGCAGGAGCCTTCCAAAGTTACACCTCTGCTGGGCCACTCTGTAGTCATGTGGTGTACGCAGGCTCCGCCGCTCTGTGCTTTTGAGCTCTCTGAGCCAGTTTCTTTGTGGCTCAGGGCCTGGCGGACGATGCCTCTGATGGTGAGATACCTTTGCGTTTTGCCTGGCACTTGGCCTGCAGGGCAGCAAATGCACCAGAAAGCCGCTTGAGTCCAAATCTGTGCCACTGTGAAGCTTTGGTATTGAACGCATCTGTGTGGCTGCGTAGGGCCTTAGACTCATACCAGTTGGCTTCGCAAAGTAGAAAGGTAGGTAGGTAGGTAAGTAGGCAGGCATATATGCACGCATGTTGGTGGAACACTGTTGATGCCTGAGGTGAGCCACAGCTGGTGGCCCCCGCAGGTGCCTTCATAACTCCAACATGCGCGAGTTGCAGCACTCTGATCGGCTGGGATGCAGGACTGGCATCAGGTTATGGGCGGTGTCCTTAGAGTAAACACAACGGCACGGGTTGTACTCAAGTGCGTCGTTTGATCATTGTAAGCGTTTCTCGTTGTGACCAGGCGAAAAATGCAGCTACGAGGCCATCAAGGCCCCGTGGATGCTTAGAGAAGCTAGCAGCTAGCGGCTAGCGCAAGTCTATGCCGAGTCTGCGTCACCCTTTGGAGGCTGCTGAGCTCTGCATTGCCGCGAAGGCACATCAGGGTGGACGGGCTGTGGCGGCTTCTGTGTTGTTACTCTCTGTTGAGGACCTTTCTGCCGAGTACCTCCGTGATGCCAGTCGCTGGGAGGAGGTTTCTTTTCCAGCGTTCCAACAGCTGATACCTGCTTGCTCTCACCCTGAGCCCGAGCACGAATCGGGCAAGAGAGGCACGCTTCTGGATCGATAAGAGCTGCATTCGCCTCTCGGCGGAAACCGTAAATGGCATAGGTTCAAGCTCGGCGAAGTCGCAGCCACCGAGGTCAGAACGATGAGGAGTTTATGTCCTTGTCCATCCAGCTCATTGAAGCCGAGTGCTCATCATCCATCAGTGCGCAGCATCCACAACCCGCCACAGCTTCAGCAGCCGAGGAATTCATGCAGCTCTGCCACGGCATGGTCGTGATCTTCACCTGGTCATACCTGGAACGACTTTGGTAGTGTGCTCAGAGTCGAGCCCCCGAGCACACCTCTGGGAATCGGAGATGAACCTAGGTGCGTTTACGAGTGGGCGTGCTTCTTGGTGTTTCACGAGCGGGGCTCCCAGACTTGACTTGACTCCTCGGGTCCTCGACATCGAGAGATGGAGAGATGGACTCGCAGACTCTCAGGCCTCACGACATGGTCATCTGCGCCGAGTCCCTTTACCGAGCGGGCACGGAGGCCGCTCGGCCCGGCTGAGCTTTGATCTGTGGACCCGCTGCTGGCTCCGTGGCTCCGTCCGGGCCCGGGCCGGGGAGGAGCGGTTCTTGGAGTCCGTCCGCCGCTTCTCGGTGGAGCAGAGCCAGCCTCCGCCCGAGAAGACCTCGAAAAACAGAAGGAGCCGCTTCCGGCTTCCCGCCCCCCGCCGACCAGGTGCACCGATCCGGAGGACCGGAAAGTCCTGGAGCAAAAGATCAAAGAGCTCCGGGCTCTGCGAGGGCCGAAGTCTTTGGGTCGCAGCTCTCAGACCTCTCAGGTACTACGGATGCTGTGAGAACTTCGAGCGATTTCTCCGAGTCTCCGCCCGCCCCCCGGGCCTGCTAAGGACAAGGAGGAATACTGAGCAATAGTGAATATATGAGTTCTTTTTTCTCGGTCGAACTTGTACTCTTGGACTCCTCTTCAGGTCCGTGCTTTCCGCTTCGATCTTTTGCCCCTCGGGAGGTGATTGCCATCATCGGTCGTTGTTTGGCAGCTCGCGGGGCCAGTGCCCCAGTTTCTCTCGAAGCGCTCTGCGGCTGGTTTGCTGCTCAAGTCTCGTCCTCAGGCTCGGAACAAGACTGGCCTTTGCAACTGGGTCGCTTTGGCAGACGACTTGGGCTTCCAGGAGCGATCCTCTTGAAGCAGAGACCCGAAAGCCATCGGAAGCCGAAAGCAATATCCAAGAGAGAAACAGGACCTGGCAGATGGCCTGCGCCTTGCGGACAGCCCCGTGCCTGTCGAGTCTGCGTCGAAGCACCGGCAAAAAGCGTGAAAGGGAGAAGCCGCGAAGCCTGTGCCTATGCCAGGACCCGGCCGCCTGGCGGCAGCAAGCTTTGGACGAGGCTCGACACCATCGCCGTCCATTCGAATCGCAGTCTGCACAGGGCCTTCTGTACATTTGCACAGGTGGAAACCAGCAACACGGATTTGCAGAGCTGCATCAAGGCAGGCGATGATTGGCCATGGCGAGCTGCCACTGCGCTTGATTTTGCAAGGGCCTGTCCCAATTCTTCCCACAGGAGCCGCCTTCAAACCATAGGTGGCAGTGCGCCATCCTGGCAAACTCGAGCCGAAATTGCTCAAGACAACACAACAGAAAAACGCTCAGAACATCAAACGGTGCAGCCTGATGAGTCTTGTTGCCCCACGCGGCACACCCTGAGGTTCTCAGCCCTGTGTGCAGATGCTTATTTGTTTTGCTTTTGAGCAGCACTTTTGAGGCTCGCATCTTTTAACTTTTCCAAGTGACTAATAGCCATGGCAAAGCTCTTTGCGCAGATCCTCATTCAAGTGCTTGCGTGGAAGCTGGGGAGTGCATCGTGGCTCGGTCAAGAAGGATAGACAATTCAGCTGGTTCCTTTGCACTTCAGATGGCTTGATGCACCCAATCTTGCATGTTGCATTTTCCTTCTTGCGCCCACGCTTGCAGTCACTAAGGAACGCTTTGTGCCCCCGCGAAGGCTGCGGGCACGAGCAAACCTCCTGGCTGCAGCTGCAGAATATTAGCTTGCTGCAGAGAAGTTCTGGGCCCTACTACGTCCAGCTGAAAGTTGGTAATAAGTCAGAAGCTGCAGACCACGCCATCTCGGCAGCTGCATGCCCAACTGACTATCCCACCCCGTTGATGTGCATGTCGGACCCACCAAACGGAGGCGATGGTGTAAAGCCTGTAAAGCCCCGCCCAACAGACGCCATCCCTCTTCAGGGGCTCCGGTGCGAGCAGTTGCAGTTTGCACCGACATGCCAGATGTTCAGTGGCCTTCCTCAGCACCAAACGACACCGTCAAGTATGCAGATGGCCCGCTTTCCGTGCAGTGCGACGGTTACAGGCCCATCCAATGCCTATGCGAGTCTCCTTGGGGCGTAAGCCAGTATTGTGGAGGCGAGAGCGTCTTCCTGCCGACCAACCCAGACGGCCGGAACACTAAAATCCAGTGCCGCAAGACAATTCCCACCACGGTTGCACACCGCCGACGCAATACGGGAATCGGTGCTGGGGCGCGGATTTGGGCCATATGCCCCAGCTCTTTCGCAGGATTTTCCCCGACCACAGGAGGGAGCAATGACGACCAAAAGACTACAGTGTGCAGTAAGGATGCCGCGACATCCGGCGTGTGTTTCGTCAATTCGCCCCAGCCAGGAAGCGATGGCGTGGAATTCTTCGCATTTGGGCCTTCTTTTGTAGGGCGCTTCGGTTGTTTGGTTCAGGCTGGCACGGCGGGCGCGGTGACAATTCACCAAGTCTGCATGCAGGACCTGAGAACAGAAATTAGGAGGGCACCATCAACTGGCTGGTCTGACGGCACCACGGATCTTGTGCTTGACACATCTAAACGGTCTGGGTCCACCATCCACCTCCCCATGCTGTGCGCTTGCCGCACTGATTGGACAGTGGGGAATGAGTGCGGCGGCAAGACGGTGTGGTACCCGACACTGGACGCTTCCGACAAGTTGGAGTGTCGCATCCCAGCCAGTGTTAGCCGACGCCGACGCCATCGCCGGCGTAGGGAGCCAGGAGCAGCCATCTCTGCTGTGATGGGCGATACCTTTTCCGCCTTTTCCGCCTAGGACGCGGCCGGGACAATGTCTGCAACAGCCGCTGTTTTAAATTTAAGAGTTTGGACCACGTTCTGCTTCCTTCAACAGGTAAGAAGGACTTGGCATGGTCTGGCAGCTGAAGAGACATGCGACTTAAGACTTAAGACTTAAGATGACCTCTCAGCTCTGCGGCTTTGCGTGGTGATTGCACAGGCAATCCGCAGGGGTTGCGCACACCTAGACCTCAGCCAGAAGCCTTCGGCCATCTTTTGTAGGAGCCGCTCACCGGCAGCTAAGCGACTAGACCTAGCGGCAGCTAGCGAAGAATGCTGATGGAAGAAGCAGGCTTTGAGGGCAATTGCCAGCAATTGCCAGATTGTTTCGCTCCTGACGGGCGGTGAGAAGTCGAGAGGCTTTGCTTGAGGGGCTGTAGAAGTCTTTCTGGTAGAGGGAGCTTGGACCACCCATGAATACAATTATGGATCTCCTTGTAGCCCGTCTTTGTACAGAAGCCAACGAGATCTTTTTGATGACAAGCAGGTTGCCCAGAAAACCACCGACTTTTTTTAAAGTTCTTTGGGACTCCCTCGCACAAGCCTCAGCAATGTGCACCAGGCTCGGCAGATGGATGCCTGTCGCTTCTTGAGCTCAGTGAAATTCGACCCAAACTGTTTATGCCTTGAGCATGCCGTGGAGCGGCGCGCTCGGCACGCACAGGACAGTCGTCCCGAATTTGACCTCATGTGGAAGCCTTGATGTGTGATTGCGTGTACAGATCTAGAGTGCTAGATTCTGATAGATCCTTGGAGTCTTGGAGTACTAGAGTCGTAGAGTCTTAGAGTCTTTTTTAGAGTCTTTAGAGTCGAGTCTTCTTTGGAGTCTTACAGAGCTTTACAGTTTTTTTCGAGGCTGAGTCGAGCCAGGATCCAGGGAGTTCAATTTGCACCGTGCGACTGTTGACTTGTAAATGGAGCTCTTGACATCGACATCTGACTTCAACATGTTGCAACTTACAACATCTTGCCTTAGTGCCTTGCGCAAGTCCGCCCCTGCCACTGCGCTTGACTTTGCAAGGGCCTGTCCCAATTCTTCCCACAGGAGCCGCCTTCAAACCATTCAGGGAGCTCTGGCTCCACTGAAGCCCCAGGTGGCAGTGCGCCATCCTGGCAAACTCGAGCCGAAATTGCTCAAGACAACACAACAGAAAAACGCTCAGAACATCAAACGGTGCAGCCTGATGAGTCTTGTTGCCCCACGCGGCACACCCTGAGGTTCTCAGCCCTGTGTGCAGATGCTTATTTGTTTTGCTTTTGAGCAGCACTTTTGAGGCTCGCATCTTTTAACTTTTCCAAGTGACCCACGAGGAGCCACTAAGAGCCATGGCAAAGCTCTTGGGTCGAAAGTGTGAAAGACCGACTCTCACATGCAGGCACAAAGCGATGCCTGGTTTGCCGACCACATCACACCCATCCTCGCCGCCGAGCGCCGGCGTGCTGTCCGGGGCCCGGCTCGCCCGTCACCTCCGTCCTGTTCTGTCTTCTGCCACCACGCGAAGAGCCCAAAGAGAAAGAGCTGAGACACACATCTTCAGAACACAACACAGTACAGACGCGGTGTATGTTGAACCCGTCAGGTTCAGCGAAACGTCTTCCGAAGCATGCTGCTCCGCAGGAACTTCGCCTTCGCCTCGGCAGTTGCGTGTAGATGTCCTGTTGTCCAAAGTCCAGATTTCGAGGTTCGGAAAACACTGAGCGCCGCGAGCTGAGAGGGGATTCAGTCTGTTGCCACGCGGCTCCAAGCCATCGGTGCTTCCTTCCAGATATTGCGAAGGCTTCAGGTTGTGTCGTTTCTGAGCCTCCGCGATGGCGGGAGGTCGAGTCGAAGTAGTGAAGCAGAGCCCACGTTGCCCGGCCTCTCGCACGCTGGCGTCCGTCGAGATGTCGAGACCCTACCCCGATGGTCAAACACGCGGGACGAGCGTCAGAGGCCCTGAACAGAGAGGCCTCTGGCCTGTTGCACGCTGGCAGATCTCAACTTTCGGCAGTAAGATGCCGCTCTGATCTCCTAACAGCTGCTCGGGGTGTCGTCAGTACATCGGCACGCTATGCAACTGTTTCGCTCACCAAGCTTTTCCACTTGACATCATCGCACTCGTTCGACACTTTGAAAGGACACCAGCTTCAAACGTCCGACAGCCTTCCACTCCTCCCGGGTGCTTGGGGCCGCGGCCAGAGCTGATGGCTTTTGTGCGTTCATCTGCGGAGTCAGTAGTCTCCTCTACGGCAAGGTCAGGCAACTGGCCTCAGCACCTGCTACAGCGTCATGAGGCGGGCCTTGTCGGTGCCACTGAGCTTTTGATGCTTCTGCCTGGAGGAGACCGTGACCAATTGCATGGAATATAGGACCTGGAGGAGCGATCAAGTTCAGTTCGTTGAGTTGTGCGTTGCTTCGATTCGCTTCGTTGGTCCGGGCCGGTCCCGCCAAGCCAGAACTTCTGCGCAGGCGTTTCCATCTGCAGCCGGGTGAGTTGAGTGATATCGCTTTGGTCCCATTTCTGCTGGTGAAAAAGGCTGAGCCGACCCTCACACAAAGTGGCGTGTTGGGCTGCGCGAGCTGAATTATGCTTTGCCTGTCCTCATAGGGAATCCTTCCCGTGCTTTGTGCCTCGTGGGTAGCATGTCGAGGAACCAACTCCTTCGAAAGAGCATGAAAGCAGCCTGTGACCGAGCCAAAAAGATGTCTGCGGGATGTGTTTGTCCGTGGGTCTTGGACACCTCGACGTTTAGTCGGTGAACCGCCTGCAGAGACCTGCAAGGTGCATGAAAATTCGGGCTGTACCACGGCACGGTGATCGGCAGCATTCCAGCTTTGCAATCAGTGTCTGTGAGCTGCTGCCAAAGTGCAACCATTTTATTCGGTAGTCCGCATGGTCGGCCACCTCTTAGGTGAACTATTGTGTGTGAAAGAGCTCTTGGTGGTCTTGCATAAATGCGGACGGTTTGTCTAGGTACAGTCTCCTTGCAACACCTGGCGGTGTCGAAGTCTTTGATTGGGCGGGAGTGGTCAGCTGAAAACAACCGAAAGCCAGCAGGGCTTGATATATTCTACGGTTCCTGAATGTTAGTAGTTTGGTGAGACATGTTTTCACAGATCCGAGGCCCATAATTTTTCTAGCACTGACATGTGAACTTCTTGAAGTCCATGTCGTGGATGGGGCTGAAGCAGACTTTTGTGCCAACCAGAGCAGAGCAAAGGTTGCCGAGGCGATTTTTCGACATTCTGGTTGAGCAGTGCTGGTTGCTCGAATGCGTCTACAAGTCTGCAATACAAGAAGGGTCTCTTGTGGGGGAAGCAAGTCTGGGGCTGCGTTTCGCAACCAACACGTGGAGTCCCCACAGCGATGTTGAAGGACTATCCAGTCGATTCCAGGAAAGTGTAAAGAATCTGGCACCATACCTGCGCAGAGGATGCCGTAGCAGCGCTGTAGTAGCTGACATGAGTTCATGGCCATGAATCTATGAAGAGCAACGGGAAGGCTGCAAGCCTGGCACCTCGCACCCAGTGTTCTAGTTCACGGCCTTACCAGGCCGTGGAAGCCGTCTGTTGTCCTGGTACTGCCTGTGGGCGATAGGGACATCTAGGCTCCGTGGACAATGTGCCACCCTGCCTGCCACAAGTGCGTTTGGGCAGAATAAATTTTCAAAGCGGGTACTGCAGATAGGCAAGCTTTGGCCCGTGGAAGCTATGTGAAGCGACGCTTGCTTCAAGCATCTTCATGCCAAGGGAGCCGTAAGAAGCTGACTAGGGGATGCAGGCGACAAGCTTCCCGGGTGCCTTGTGGCCTCTAGGCGTCTTCCGGTGTTCCTCTGCTACAGACGCCTCACATGCCGTCTCTTCCCGCAAGTTCGAGCCAATATCGAGCCCCTCGGCTTTGGGCAGTCCCAAGGACTCTGCTCTCTGCCCACTCCCCTTTCTTCGGTGCGGAAGGTGGGGGAGTGCTAAGCAGGGCTTCCACGAGCAGTCTGTGGGCACAGAGCGGCCCCGCGCACGAATCGGAGAGCCCCCCCCCTTCAGTTCCCGGACAGAGACACGACTACCGGGCCGCTCTGCTTTGCCGCTTTGCCTGCTCGAAGCAAAGCTGGGGTGGGATTGTTGGATCCGCTTTCCGACCTTTCATTTCATTGGCTGAGCTAAACCGAAACCTGTGGGATCAATCTGCTGATAGCTTCATCTTGGAAGGCGTCACATTTACAGCCCAACTTCCAGTCAGCTTTGCAAGACACCACCCGCCGCAGTGACGAACAAATGCTGCGTTCATGGAATGGACCGCGTTTGAGTTAGCAAAACCCTTGCCCGTTCTGGGTGATAATACCACCGCCAACCAACTCAGCCCAAGCCCCTGTATCCTTCCCTGGGAATCCCGCCAAACCCTCGCTTCCCTGCCCATTTCGGGATGATAATACCACCGGGGGGAATATGGATAGGGTAGTTGGACATTCCTACTGGTTTTGGTAATGGGGTAGTAGTGGTGATATAGTTGGTGAGAGGTAGGGGTATAGGAATATTCCTCTTATATGGATGAGGTAATCGGTTATTCCNNATGGGCAAGGGTTCTGCTAACTGTTTAAAGGCAGGAGTGTTGTGTCGAGGACATGCAGAGGCTTGATTTGGGGTTGTGAGAGTTTCGGTCGTAATTTCATCGTCAAGGTCCTAGGCTCGCCTGTGTCTTGACAGGTTTATCAGGGGAAGGCTGGCAGAGCGATCTCTTCCATCTGCCGCTTTCGTTCTCCAGCCGCAAAGTAGCTTCCTGGGGGCGCATGGGTGCATGAACTAGCTCACTCCCTGCAGTACTTCAGAAGATACTTCGTCAGAAGATACTTCGTCAGAAGTTAGTTGCTGAGTTGCCAGACCCTGAGTTTTGCAGAGCTGCAACTTCCGTGGCTATGGACAAAACAGCCGTGCCAGGGACTCATCGTTTTGCGACGTGCTGGTTTGCCACATAACCGTGGTTTTGTAACACTCTGGGTGCTGAGTGTGAAATAGGATGTATAATTGGTAGTGACCGTGGTGCTGATCCGAGGGCCATTCCGTCACAGGGCGGAGATGAGCTTTTTGCCAAGTGAGCCCGTGCCAAAGAGCGAATGTCTTGCAACGCGACGCTGCTCCTTGCAGGTACTTCGCGGAAATCACGCTTGATGTTGTTGAGGAGACTTCTTTGGTATCTGATTTGCGAGATGCTGTAGCGAGCAAAACCCAGTAGCCTATTGGATTGGTAAGGTTGCCACTGCAGCGCTATGTTCGCAGGGCCGGTTCCCCGAACTGTTTGGACCAGGAGCAAACTTTCCTGAAACGTGCCATGGAAGAGCCAGGGCCGAGGCCTCAGAGGGGGGGATGAGAAAATCACGATCAGCACAGAGCCTTTTTACGGGGGATCACGGGGGTATGAGAGAGAGAACGTGGGCCTGGAACAGCGAGTCCACGTCTCCCACAACGTGTTGCAAGGGCTTGTCCCTTAAAGCCTTCGCCGAAGCGGAGTTGCTACTAGTAGTCGGCGCTTTCCATACTAACTCGCCGGTCTCTTGCTCTGTTGGCAGAGATGGTCTCCCTAGGAGGCTCTTGCGAGGCTTGCCTAGTCCTATAGGTCCGTATGCGACGATCTCTGTAGGCGTTCCATGTGCCCCATTTGGACAGTCCAGTCAAGACTGCGACATGTCTCGGAGATTGACTGGGTGGTTGCAAGATACCAGCGCCTTCTGTTCACTCGATGGCGGACTTCCTTCGTGATAGGATCTGTTGGTGGACACCCAGATCCTTGGCCGTTAGCTTGAGCATCTGTTTGCAGCCAGACCCGCGCGCATTTGGTGGTGGCCTGTGCAAATCTTTTGGTCCTATCAATGACAAGGACAGGCTCTGGCAGAAGTTAAGAGCAGTAGCAGTTGCTGCCTGTATGGAGCTCGCCAATGAAGCCTGCCATGACATCTGTGTGCAGCCCTGCAGCTGCAGGTCTGTGCAGGGCTGACAAGTACCAACATAGCCATGTTTCAAATTGTTGATTTGTCTTGGATTGAAGGTTTGTTTCTAGATTCTAGTGATATCATGATCCGGGTGATTCGCCTTGAGGCCCCGCTACGTCCACCTGCGTCGCAGCTCCATCGGGACCGTGACCGTCCCTCCTCACATCGAGGAGGGGCAGACGGTTGTGGAGTGGGGGGCAGACGGCAGTGGAATCTGGTCTTGTTGCTGTCGGTCTCCTAACCTCAGGAGAATCAGCCTGGCAAGCTGGTGTCCCAGGCGGGAAGAGTTTTAATGCCTCGTGGAGGCACGTCGAAGACTTCAGACCTCTTTGAGCAAACGCGCGCCAGGTTTGGACTGGGCACCCCAAGGTGGATCGGACCCTGCAGCGGCCTCGCCAGGGTCTGCCGGGTTAAGTGTCGTTTCGTCTGCGAAGAGGTTCATCATGGACCGCCGTGCCGAAAATCGGCTGCGGCAACTCTGCCATGCAAAAGGGACGTCGAGCAGTGACTCAGTGACAGCGCAATGATGACTTGCGACGCCCTGCGCCAGGGAAGTAAAAGCGGTCGGCACGCAGAAGAGCATCCCCATGCTGAGAGGCGTCGCTTGCTCCAAGAAGGCCCAAAGAGATTCAGGGCCTCCTTTCTCGAAGCCTTCTCCATGTTTTCTGCGATTTTCGGGGGGCTCCGGGTGTTGCTGCCAGAACTTTGGGGCTCGGCTTGGACCAGAGCCTTTTGGGGACTCCTTCCGCCCGCTGCCCAGAGACTTACCCCAACTTCTGCGCCCGCCTTCGCTTGGCTTGTGCTGTCAGGTGCGAAGTACTTGAACTCGCAGAAGAAGTCTCCGGTGGCAACTGCCGAAGCCTTGGTTTTTCCAGTTTGGCGGTCGAAAGAAACCGCCCCACATCCCGTTCCGGAGCCGAGGCCCCTCCCAATCTGATGGATAGGACGGAGGACTAGCTCAAGACGAGAGCCCCCCAAAGCAGCTCTTGTGAGAGCTCTAAAGAGCCTCTTGGCCTCCGGCCGCGAGGCTTTGGCTCTGCCCAGCTCACCCTGCCTTGTGCCTTCCACAACGGACCCTGGCCAAGCCAGAGAAGAAAGCGTGCTCCATGCGGGAAGCGAAAAGCAAAGACATGCAGAGTAGATCAGTCTCGGGCGCAATGCCCAGCACGATACAGCATCCCGAGCAGCTGCTTTAGGATCTATCAGGGATTTAGAATTTCAGGGTTTATGTGATGGTTCGAGGCACTAGGGAGCTCGGGGCCGTGGGGGTTTGGGGCCCAAAGGGGTGTGAACCTGTCTTGGGCTGCCAAGGCTTTGGGTTTGAGACCTGGTATAAACCGCATAACTGCATAACTACACGAACTGGGACATACAGCTATCGCGTGCTAAGGCGGGCCCGAATTTATCGTTCGGGCATCAACATCTTGACCCTGCTGCCTCACTTGCACAGTGTTCGCGCTGTTGACGCTGCTCGTGATTGGGTGCTCTGGATGGGCAGCTGGGTTCAGTGTTTCGGGTAGCACGGGCATTGAAGAGGATAGATTCGGGATTCGGATAGATGCTTTTGGTGGACCTGCTAGTGCTTCAAAACGTCATGAACAAGACATGCACCCCAAGGAACAAACAAACATCGTGGACAACACCCATGTTTCTGCATCCACTGTTGCTTCAATTTTTTGCCTTTCTAGCTGACACTTAGTCGGATCAGTCTTGCAGTCTTGTGCCCTCTTTAGTTCACCGCTTGTGGCAGTGGATCAAGCAGGGAGCTGCGAGTCAAAGGCCCTGGCCTGAAGGTGGGGCGTCACCGAGCGCAGACTGGAGTTTGGCCACATTTTGTGCACTGTAGGCTCCATGGCCCATGGACGCATCCAGGCAGCTCTGGGTCCTCTCCTCGTCACGTTTTGTGGGCGCTCCATTTGTAAAGCGCGTGCTTTCCCAGGCAAGCACCACTATGCCTTCATCAAGAAGGACCGCTGTTTTGCCGCTCTTGGGCTGTGCCGCTACGCGCACAGTCGCCTGCGACCCGAAAGCGCGAGGTTGGCGAGGGCTCCTTCGGAGCGGCCATCCTCTGCCAGCACGATACCGACAAGGAGCGCGACACCAAGGCAAGGGGGGGATTTTGTGACAGAGCCGCGGCCGCGGGGGTGATGAGGTGGACTTGCTACTGAGTGGTTGACTGCGTTTTCGATCACTTTCCTCGCAAAAGTCGCCCTTGCCCGCGGATTCGTGCAGCACCTCGAACCGTCCCAATCCTATTGAGAGGTTTGATGTCCGTGGGAGTTTCGACCTGCGTGTTGCAGTTTGCCCCCACCCCCCCCGCCCCACACGCAAGGCATATGTCTGCCAGAGCCCTTAATGTTGATGCAATCGCTAAAGCATGCCTGAGAGCACAGTATTGAGAGATATTGAGAGCCAGTCTTTCATTGAGAGGTCCGTCCCCATCTCTCCTAAAGGATCAGCTCAATGCGGCGTCGCCAGGCCATCGTGAAGATGATAGACATCAGCCGTGCTTCCAAGCAAGAGAAAGACGATGCCTTGAAAGAAAGCAAGGCTTGCCGATCAAGGCTGCTGATGATGGGGAGCAGGGCTTGAATGTGCTTCCTGTCAGGTGCTGGCTTCTTTGAAGCATCCGTACATCGTCCGGTACAGAGAGAGCTTCAACGAGGCACAGATGGTAGTATCCTGCTCGGCGACACGAAGCATCGTGTAAGGATGGCTGGCTTTGCATCGTCATGGACTACTGTGAAGGAGGTGATCTCTCGGGAAGAATAAAGAATGCAAGGCGTTTCGGCACTGCTTGCAGTGCTCCTTCCGCAACCGGCTGTGCCAGTCAGGCAGTCGTCGAAGATCTTTCCACAGGATCAGGTCGTCAGGTGGTTTACCCAGGCTCCATTTGTTTCCAAATTGACGAGGCCACATTCTCGTAGTCTGGCTGGCCTGACAGGCCATTCTCGCCTTGAAGTATATCCACGACCTTCACATCCTCCACAGAGATCTGAAATCCGGGAATTTCTTCTTGTCGAAGAGCGGCCATTTCCTCGAAAGCCGAGAGCTGTGGAGAGTTTTCTTGAGGTGCTGGTGGCTCGGTTGACTTAGGCAATATCAAGATGGGTGATTTCGGCATCGCCAAGGCAGGGCCGCAGGGTGTGAGCTCTTTGTGGGCTTGCTCGCTGGATCCCCTCCCCAGGTCCTGGAATGCACTGCGGCATGCGCACAGACGCAGATTGGCACGCTTGGATCCTAGCGCTCACGTGCGCTCACTCTGCTTCCTCAGCAGAAATGGCAGTGGATACGGCGCAGATGTTTGGGCTGAGGCCGTATTACCTCTCACCAGAGATATGCCATGGCAAGAACTATGCCTGGAGCTCCGACATTTGGAGCATGGGGTGCATCCTCTACGAGATGTGTGCCAGGAGAGAGGGCAGAGGTGCTGCACAGTCAGTTGTGGTGCTGAAGTGTTAAACGGGTGCAGGAAGGTGCCGTTCGACGCGCCAGATCTGAGCCTTGCCAGAAGACTTCCTCGCCTCTGCAGTCTGCTCTGTGTAGTGAACCGGTTCGGTCAGGAAGAGCCTCATCCACAAGATCACCAAAGAGCCGGCACCGGAGGCCAAAGAGAAGCCTTGCGACCAAGCTTGCTGTTCTTTCCTGCGCTTTTTTGCCCCTGAGATCTCCGCGGACTACTCTGTTGGAGTTCGCAACCTTGGAAAGGCCCCCCCGGGTGGACCCGTGTGGACGTGCTTGGAGCCTTTGGAGCCAAAGGGCGCTCGCGTCAGGAGCTGCTGGACAGGGACCCCAACAAACGTCCGCCTGCCGTGCCCTGGCAAAAAGCATGCGATGCCACGATGCCGCCTCGTCGCAGGGCCAGTGCACCAGCTGCCCATGTCAGGCCGAAATCCTGAAGCGACCGGTCGTACAGGAAATGGTGAGGAGGCAGGGATGTTAGGGATTTCGAAGCTATCACTTTTACGTTGAATGTGCCAGGATGCTCGACGAGGTGAAGGGCGAAGCTGGGGAGGAGGACGGCACACGCAGGAATCCATCCGATGGATTCGATGAGGCTGTTCTGAACCCGTGCCCATACCGCTCGTAACTAAGGTCCGAGCTGTCGGCAGGCTCTGGTAGTATGCCGCAGTGATAAGAGCCTTCTATCGGCAATCGGATGCTTTGCAAACATCGGTGGTCGCGCTTGATAGGAATTTGAGCAAAGTGACCTCGCCACGAGTTCCACACAACCCGTACAAGTCATCCAGTTTGCCTCAACCGTGCAGCGTCAGTGTCGGCACAAAGAGAGCTCCAAGACAGCGTCCCTGTCAACTTGACGCGTCCGTGATTCGGCAGCTCGTGTGATGGTGATCACGGGCCCCGAAGGCGCAGTGTGCTACAAGGGACCTGAGCAACAAGACACCGCAGAATCTTCGCAATTGATATCTTAATTGTTTGACCAGGAGGGCGACAAGCCGCCCCCTCCACCGGCACCGACAGGCCGGCTCAACTTCGGGTGGACGTGTCATGAGAGATAAGCCGAGAGGTGGTGCTGCAGCCTCCAGCGTGGCCGGGCCGTATGGCAGCGTGGGTCTCAGGGGTCTCGGAGTTTTGCCGATCTCTGACACAGAATCGAGAGGTTCGTCGCTAAGGCAACGCAGGCAAGTACACCAAGGGCGAGCTGGTTGAATACTACAGCGAGACGCATGGTGAGTGGTGCCCTCCCCAGATGTTCGAGAGGTGTGCAGCTGCTATGCAGCGGAGCTGCTTGACAAACGCCTCAAAAATGATCACGCCTGCGCAGCTCGGAGCCCTCCCCGCAGCACCATGTTCCATGAAGCAGGTTGGTCACATGGATTGGCTTTCTTGTTTTGGGGGTCCCATTCCCGGTTGGTCGAAACAAGGGGCGATGCGCAGACGGCTCTCAGAGGTTCTCCCCGAGCTCGAGCCGCCTCGGAGCCGGCCAGCTCCGGCAACGTTCGTAGACTCTCGGGACCGCCCAAACTCCTGGGCGGACCCCCTTCCACCGGAACCCTCAAAATTGAACCAACAAGCCGAAAACAAAGAGGCGATCCCTCGGCGCAGCAGTTGCCTCCCCCCAAGCCAAGGATCAAGGATCCCCTCGCTCCACAAACAGTCACGGACCAGCAGGGTTCCTTCTGAGCTTCGGCTTGCAGCTCAGGCTACCTGCCACGGTGACTGCGGCCAACGATGACGGCACAGAACTCAGGGAGAGAGAGAAACCCTAAACCCTAAACCCTAAACCCTATAAACCCTATAAACCCTATCAACCCTATCAACCCTATAAACCCTAAACCCTAAAAGTGCCTCTTTTCGGAGAGTCTGGCACCCGAGGCCGAGTGCAGCTGAACGTGAAGCCGGGCGTTTGGATCTCTCTGGAGGCTCTTACGTCGCGCTTGAAGCGGAGAAGGGTTTAGGGTTTAGGGTTTAGAGCGGAGGTTCTTGGGATGATATGGTTTGACGATGTTCCATACTTTATGACTTCTCGGGTCTTGTAAAGGTTAGGACGGTTAGGAAGTTGAAAATAGATCGGGAGTAAGACAGTTGTTGGAGTGCCTCAGAACGAGTAAGGTACTGTAGATAGAGTGTAGGTTAATTAGTTACCCAACTCCAAGACTAAGTAATCGATAGGGGGCACTCCTCCGGCGCCACTCTTTGCATTGTTTTTGGGTGGGTGGGTGGGTGGGCGAATGAGTGCGCGAGTGAGTGAGTGGGTGAGTGCAATGAATGAGTAGATGGACGATGCTTAGGCTGAGTCATTCAACGTCGATACTTTCTTGACTGTACGCGCTTTCGGGACATCCGGCGTCTACTTCACATGATGCCCGCACCCAGACTTCTGCAAACACCCAAAGATGACCTAAGACGAGTGGAGCAATGCTAGTCATGCTTTCCTTTAGTGAGTCTTGCGTCGTTGGCCTGTCATGTCGAACGTGGCGATTCCGAATGGACGGGTGCAGGCTTCGGGATGTTCAGAAGGTCCTGCATCCTTGCATCTTCAAGTCCCGCTTGCGCGCACCTGTTGTGCAGACTTAGCGTCGATGCTACATGAACACATGCCCCCGTGTTGTGGCGTATCGCTTCAGATGCCCAGAGATTCGAGCTTCAAGGATATCCGTGTGGGACGTAACGAATTGGGCGAAGCCTGTGCTTCTCATTCCGTAGCGCATATGGCATAGCAGCGATTTCTGTGCTGGCGGAGCTGATTCTTTTGGAGAGTCTCTTCGTCTCCGGAGCGCCTTTTGGATGCTGCCCGTGCTGCCAGATCCAGGGTGCCAAAGTGCGACCTCGACAGTCGGTGCGGAGCCTCGGGGGAGTCGGGCATTTCTGCTTTGTCATTCCCTTTGCTGCCTCTGCTCGTTGTCATCGCCGGACTTCTCAGCTCACAGCCATCTCTTCTGCTCTTTAGTATATCCGCCTGCCTTCCCTCCTTTATGCCTTCGTTCGTTCGTTCGTTCGTTCGTTCGTTCATCCGTCAACATCCATCCATTCATCCGTACATCCATCCAATCATCCATGCAGGTCCATGCATCCTCAGTTCTGCTTTGGCATTCTCTTCGGTTGTTCCGGCCGAGGCGCAAGCTGCAACGCCAGCAAGCGGAAAGCAGGATCCTGAACATGGGGCGCAGAATGCCACAAGCGGATGCGAAGGCACACTTTGCAGCTCAGGCCCCCGCCAGGAGGCGGCAGCCCTGCCCATCGAGCTCCTGAGAAGAGGCCGCGGGATCTTGGCCGGAAGCTGAAGGATTGGTGACCGGTGCCCTGTGCCAGGGAAGGGGCGCTCCAACGGCAGGCCAGTCGAGATGGTCCCGTCCGCGCACCGAGTGGTCTTCCATTCTGTCCGTGCTACACGTGCTACACGGTGGCGTAGCGGCGTAGCGGCGTAGCGTTGAGTTCATTCTGAGGCCCCACGCGGCCCGGGCAGCAGCCCTGCCCGGGGCCCCTCGGCAGATCGGCGAGGCCGCACTCCACAGGGTCGGGTGCGGCCCTCAGCGCGGGGGCAGTCGCGGAGTCGCGGTGCCAGAAATCGTTCTTCCCCGCTTCCCCGTTGAGGCCGCGAGTCCGGCTGGCGCGGCTGGAATGCCGTCTGCGAGAGGAAACAGCCGCGGCCGAGGCACGGCGCCGTCGTTTCCTCAACCTGTCCTGACTCAGCTTATCTCAGCTTCCATGATTGTCCAGGTTGAGGTGTGGAAGATGGGGGTGGTGCAATGCTAGAGAGGTTTCCGCGATGCGTCGCAAGACGTGGCTGGTTAAGCGATTTTTCTGCGCCCTGCCCCATATGCCGTGTCAAGATTAGATTTGTTTCACCTCGGAACCGTGTTTCTGCCCGCCCTCGAAGTGAGGGGCCTGGCGGAGACAGCAGAAGTTCTGCATGGCGTCGAAGGATGGGCGCTTCAGAGCACTGGTGGCCTATCATGATATATCAGTCCAACTGCATCCATACCTGCAGCTAGCCGACGAGTATCAAGGAGAGTCTGTAGTCCAGAATACCATGTTTCAACTTTGCATTTAAGGAACTTTGGTCGCCCAAAGAAGCCGAGTGCTCACCGCAGAACGTGACGACGCATGATGCATGAAATCTTGGGTTGAGCGCCTGAGTGGTGGAGTTTTCAATCTCGTTCGCTCAGTATCCGGGACAGCCTGGCGTGCCGCAGCCACTTTGACGGTACTGCTCCTCAGCCACCCGCGATCCGGACCGAACAGCAGAGGCTCGTGAATGGTGAAGGAGTGCTTCAGGCGTCCCTGCGAGTAACGAGTGGGGGATCGCTTTGCGACACCTTCTAAAATGAACGTCTGGCCAGGTACTATCAGGAATTTGGATCTTGCCGGCTTGCTGATGCGGGCATTCAATTCACAAATGCAGAACATCCCGTTGCACTTGGAGGTGACATCTTGGAGGCGGAGCTCTCTGGACTGAGTTGAACCGGCAGTCACGTTCACGATGCGAGGGGGTGTGAGGGACACTGGCATTCCATTCTTTCTGATGGGGCGGGGATTTGCGGATTGAGGTCAAGAGCGGTTTGAAGCTTCAAAGCATGTATGTGTGTATATTAATGATCGTTCCAGCCGCCGTTTCCATTACTGCTGGAAGTGCGCGATTCAAAAAGCACACTGTTGCACCCGACGTCCATTTGCATTCTCACAGCCGCCAGATGCACATCCCGATCCGATGATTACATTTGGGCCAGGAAGGGTTCTACAATAGAGGTGCAGCATCTTGGCTCTATAACCTCAGCCCAACGAAGCGAAACCCTACAGCCCATTCACGTTACCCGAAGTAGAGTTTATAGTCTTGGTCAATCTTTGTCTTAACATTCTAGCTTTCCCTTTGGACGTCGACGGCCCACGATGCTTTCTTGGGTAGTGTGTACAAGATGGTGAGAAAGTGTGCGTGGAGGTATTGTTGCTTGGATCCTTTCACCACTCCCAATACACCAGCGGCTGCATCCCCGTAAGTTTGCCATATTCTTCCTGTCCGTGGCATCTTATATGTCTTGTCACCAATGAAAGGTGGCAAAGCAAGGTTTGTCTCAAGAGTCCACTTCGGTTCTTGGGCCTGTGACAGCCGTGCGATGACAGATCAGCGCGTCCGTGCCAGTGCGGAAGCAACGCTTCAATCCTGTGCGCTTGTGAACCGCTGTTCCGTATGTGAGGCAATGCTTTACGTGCGACTTAAGACTATCTATCGTTCTGGTCGTGCTTGTGCAAGCAATTGAGATTAACACTTATGGAGGCCCCGGCTATGGCAAGTGTGTGCAACTTCAGAAAGCTCGGCAAGGATACCCTCCCAGGCTTTTGTCCCGGTAAAGTGAAGGGATACATGTGCATGCTTCTGGAAAGCTTGCATGCCTGTCCGGCTTCGGTTCAACTGTGGCGGGCAAGGCTTCAAAGGGCCAGGCATCGGCGAGATCCGTCGTCGCGCCATGATTCTTCTTGGCTTTAGCCTTGGCCGATCTCAAAGTCGGGACCCCAGCCCGGAGTCACGGCTTCGATTTGCTTTTGCCGATGTGGGAAGGCGATTGAGATGGGCACTACCTCCGGTGTCCGTGCCCGAGTGACACAGGTGATGCCGGCAAGCGCTGAGTGGCAGATCTTGTCTTGGCAGATAATGTGGCTCCTCCTGGCACAGTCTGCTTCTGCAGGGCTTCTCAGCGGCCAGGTGCGCAGCCCAAAGACCTCTCCGAACCTGCGAGCAACTCCGAGCCTTTGACTTTCAGGTGCTGGAAGAGATCTGCGGTACCCAGGACGTGACATGCAGGGTCTTTGTTTCTGTGGCCAGAGGTTGAGACGTCGTGATTGGGAGAGCAGGCAGCAGGTCTCTCTCTGGGTCAGGGTAGCCTCGTCGGCATCTGCTTCAACATTAATGAGCGATTCTAACAACACTAGAGGTTTGGTTTGATCAAGTTTGAGCGACGCTTCTTGCATGTGACCGGGCAGGATACTCTGGAGTGTTTCAGTCTGTTTTGCTCGAGCCGGGCTCGAGCACCACGGTGTTGCAGGACCTTACCTTGTCACCCGCAAACCCATGCTTCTTTCGGCTCTTCAGCCTCGTCTGGCGCATTTGCTCGTGATATGGGGCAAGGTCCCCGTTGAGCATGCAGCTGATCTGCTGCCAGGTATGGCACAGGTGTGGGACGAGTGTGAGACGCACAAGGCGGTCTGGTATGGAAAGGAAGGCGTCGGTCCGACGCAAACGTGCAAACGTACCCTGAAGGACGCCAAATCCTGCCTTGTCGGCCGCTGAGAAGAGCAGAATCCTTTCCTTTTTAAGGCTTTTGTTCAGATAAACCAAAAAAGCTGTCCACAAACTGTCAGGCATCCTGCTTTTCAGCCAGCTACTGCGAAGGCTTGTGCGAGCATTCGCAAAGTGCGGGAGCCCCAAGCCGCACAAGCCTGGGCAGCCCAGAGCTTTTGCTATGAGGCAAAGTGCGAGGCACAATGCCCCAAGCTTGTCGCCTGCATGGAGGCCATCCCGAAGGGTAGCGGTCATTCTCTTCATGGAGTTGGCCTGTTAGCTCTTACTGGTTGCAACACACTGTGATTTGTGCAGCCTAAAGCCCGCCGTGTTTTGCCCGTTGCGTTACTGCGAAGATAGATCTCCTAGAGCATTGAGGCAACAGTCTCGCACGACCTGGCCGATGAATGGCTCAAGCTATGCTTTCGCACCGGTAGTGGAGCCTTTCGCTCCTGGGCTATTTGGAGCCAAACGCCCCGCACTTTGCGCAAACTTGTTCCACTATGGCTGCGCTTTAGGAGGTGCTGCGCTGGCCGAACTTCGTCAAAGACGATGACACCGGCCAGAGCACGGAGGGCAAGTTTGGGATGCTTCGGTTCAACGGAGAGCCGACGAGACTTGCCAAACAATTACACCTTCAGGGTGGAGGCCCGCATGCCCTGGCAAAGGGGAAGGCGACCAGGAAGAGCTGACAGACTTGGACCCCTGGTTTGGTGGAAGGCCTCTCCGATACAGCCCTCGGGGCAGCCCAGACACCTCTGGAAAGCACGTTGCGACCTACACGGGCTGCAGCAGGCCCGAGAGCTGTGTACAATGCGGGTGCAGCAACCCGCGGCACAAGTGTCTGGCGGGTTGTTCGTCAAAACGGAAGCTTCCCGACGTGGTGCTCGCGGATTTTCGATGGACAACCAGCTGTTAGCTCGCACGGCATTGCAGGGCGACTTGACATACGACAAGATTGCTGACGAGCGCGTCGCCCAGCACGGCAACTTAAGATCTATGAGCATCAGAGAAGAGGACCCTCGGGCAAGGCTGCCGGTAAGCAAGGACATGGACAGCGGCGGTGAAGCGGCCGAACATGGCGGCCAACAGGCTACTACCAGGACGTGCAGTTGGAGCAAGGCCGACCGCAGAAGGGGCAGTTCAGGCTCGCCGTGTCGGGCCGTTTCCTGAGAAGAGCTGAGGCCGAAGGTGTTCCACGTGAAGGCCCAGATTATTCGCCACTGTGCGGCGAAAGGAGTCGAGCCAAATGGAGCAGGACGTTTTGGGCCCAGCCGCCCAATATCATCGCAAATCTCGTTTTGATAAGTTCCACGACGGCGTCTTCGAGGAAGCCTGGCCGAGGAAAAGGACCAAAGGCCGGACGAACCGGCGAACGGGCAAACCGCGCGGCGGGGATGAGGACAGCCACCTGCCGACGACCGAGCCGTTCCTTTAAAGATCTAAGGCAAGATGCTGTGGTTGACCCGAAGGCCGACAGCGCAGCAAAACAATCGGATAGCCCGACCGGATCGACATGGGCGGAGTGGAAGCCACGAACACTGCAGGACAGGATGAAATCACGTCCAAGATGATGCAGCTGTGGGACTTATGGCCGAGCCTATCGTTGATCCGAAAGCTGCGGGGTGCCTACCGTTCAACATCATGGCACAGCTGCTTGTGGCCACCAGGATGCTTGACGTTCCTCAGCGCTCTGACCTTCGACATGGCTTTGTTCCACACGCTCATCCTCTTCTAGGTCAACGGTTGCAGTGTCCACGCCGTCCGCGAAAATGTTTGTGAACGTTGGATCGTTGGGATCCTCTGCTGCAGCTTCTGCTGCTGCCATAGCCGATCGAATATCTTCTCTCGGGACCTCGGAGCGAATCTCCCTCGATGCATGGTCGCTTGGTACATCCTGGCGGAGAAGGCGGCTTGACCTCCCTTGAAGTCGACGTGGGTTCCCACAAAGAACATTCCCGCCCTTACTGAGCCTGGCGGCGAGGCGTTGCAGTGGTTCGCCAACGTCTCAGTTGGGATGTAAAGGACGACCAGCGATTGCTTGAAGTCTCCCTGGGCCCTCCATCGAGTGATCTCATTCCTCCTCGTCGAATGGTGCGAACACCCCAAAGCGCACGATCCGAGCATCATCCACCCCTGGGCGTAACCCGTTCATCATGACCGACTATGTGATGCAAGTTGTGTTGATTCCAACTTCACCATGTCGATTTTCTTCGACTATGCTTGTGTATCCATCGTTCATGGAACTATGCAGTCAAGTGGATGTCCATGACGCCATCAGTGATAGAGGAGCTATTCAAGAACGGGAACCGTTATGATACTTCCGGAACATGAGGCGTGCTGGCTGAAGTCGGTGAGGTGACAGGGATCATTCGCGATGTGACCGACGACGAGATCCCCGCCTATGAACCCTCGCTAGGCATGCAGGACGACCCCACCCAAAACTCGCATGGCAAAGATTCCGGGCACATCAAACGGTATCCTCCATGGTGTCCAGCTGAACGTGATCGACCGTAGGAACCCGACCGATCCGGCGAGGGAAACGCAATTGGTGTTGCAACAATTCCTACTGACAGTCACATATAGCGTGGACCAGTTGTGGAATTCTCGTTCTTGTTTACCGATTGTCTGTTACCCACGGATCGATGCCAACGGTTTTGCGAAGGTGGACGGAGCATCTTCTAGCGATCGTCACATCGTGCTTTTTCGGCAGGGACTGATCCTGCTGTTGGTAAGTCGAGAGACCGCTGCCGACATAGCCTTTTAGTGTCACAACAGCTAAATCGGGAAAGGAAACGTGACGCATAATCTCACCGGGTTGATGCTTGTCACAATCGCGGCACTCTTCCATATGTGTCACTGTGTCAAACCGTCAGTGAAATTTGGGGGTTGTGAACGGACATCGAAGCATTGTCCATTCGGATGACCGCCGATGATGAGCTATGTTACCCCTGCTGCCAGTCATGTACAGGTATGCTTTCGGGACCTAAGCTCAAGACTGAGCTATCGTACTAGAATCACAACAATAGTTCAAAAGCCATTCAGCCAGTCGGTTCTATCTCGAACAGCTTCAAATCTTCCCATTGCACGGACTCTCAAAGACTGTCGGGCAAGCGAGGTCAGCGCCAGTGAAACTTTGCACTTTGAGGGACAGAGGTTAGTACGTGAACAGCAGCTGTGCATCATAACCATGTTTGCCGAATGGTATCCTGATGGACCGAAGCAGGTGAAAGTGTTCTTGGGCGATTGCGGTGCCAGTTTTGACGTTGGGGTTTTGTGAGTCAGGCCACCTACAGTCCGAACACATTGAATCAAACCTGATGTGGCCTCACAGTGTCTCTCATGGTCTTAGGGTATTTAGGGTCTTAGATATAAGGATGCCCGCGCATCCTGTCATGTTTCAGCTTTGCTGAGTTTTCAGTCAAAAAGAAAGCCCTGCCTGGCGTCAGGATGTCAACAGTGCTGCAGCGACACGGCCAGATCCTGGTGTTCGTCGTCTTTGCTTCGTGCGGCTGCCTCGCCAGACTCTCCAGGTCCTGTTTCAGCGGATCGATGCCGCCGTGAACTCGGAGCGCGCGTCATGTCATTTCGGATCTGGAGAGCTTGCCCCAACCCCCCAGCCTCAGGTCTTCCTCCGAGGACGAGAGGTCGCCCTTGGAGGACGATTCACATGGGGTGAAGGCATGGAAACATGGAGGTGGCGGGGCATGGCATGGCCCGGAAGTGGTTTGGTTTAAGCAAAAGTGTCGACGAGTGTTCCTGTCATACAGCGCAGGATTGGCTGAGTCGCTTGCCTGCGGTTTTTTCACGGTGAGCTCTTGTTGTTCGTGGCTGTTGCACGTGCGTTGCCTGAGGTTTGGCCGGTGTCGGCAGTGATGCGCAGGCGCAGGCCAGCAAGTGAGGTTGCATTTTCGGAAGGAAGTTTGAAGAGTCTGCCTTTTTCGTGGGTTTGAAAGACTTTATGCGCTAGTGTCCAACACCCCGTGCTCCGCAGGCCGACCTTGTGCTGGCAGAGGCGAGCTCGGGTGCATCCAGGGGAAAAATGTCACGTTTCGCACACGAGGAGACGCAAGCGGCACCTTCGCCGGCCGTCGCGCCATCCCCCCTGGCTTCGGTCTCTCGACATCAGGCCCAGGGCCAGCTTGCTCGCGGGGAGATGGGAACAAGGAGGTTTTTGCCACTTGGCGGCTTGAAAAAGGTGCCCATACCGATGGCACCAAGCCCGGCCATGACCGACCGGGTGATCCCGGCACCTTCGCCGGAGCATGCCGTCGCGCCCAGCCCCTTCAGCGCCGAGGCGTGGAAGCGAAGCCGAGAACCTATGCTTCCCCCTGCTCTGCTGCTCCGTTCTGTTGTTTCGATTGGTAGAGGTGGTGCTGAGACCGAGCCTCGCCGTTTCGACGACGGTTGTGACAACACCACTTCCAGTCTCTGCGGCTCCGGTCACCAGCCTCCCAGAACACAGGCCGAGAACGCGAGAAACTCTCGAAGCGGTCGAGGGGCCTTCGTACATCGTCTTTCTTGCGCAGGGCCGCGGCCCCTGCGGCGCCTGCAGCAGAGGCAGCCTGCCTTTGCAGCCTGACTGGAAAGCTTCAGGGGACTAGCACCGGCGGGAGCCTCGGAAAGTTTTGGGGAACTCTTTGGCCCCTGCGTTGCTCCCAGGACGCCTCGGCTGCGCGGCCCATGGTCAGGAGCCACAGGCAGAGAGTCACAGAATGCAGAGCACGGCGGCAGACATGCCGGTGAGGACTCGAGGTGTGAAGCCCTCGTGTCAGGTGCGCACAGACGCTCGCTACTGTTTCGTGGACGGCGGGAGCCTGAATCCACTTCTTCGAGCAGGTTCGAAGAGCTATGGAAGTGGGGTCTGAGGCCCCTGCAAAGACAGGAACTTCCAAGCGGCGAAGTCCTCTGAGTTTCCAGGCTGGTCGAAACACCGGCTGTGCCGATTCAGCACGGGATCAACGAAACTGCATGGCCCATGGCGATGTAGAGACAGGAAAGGGGATTTCATCACTCAGGAAAACATGATCCAACATCGAGAGAAAAGACGCTGTTCGAAGAACTGGCCGGAGCGAATGACGTGAATGACCTTCTGCTGCAGGCCCGTCTCCGGCCAGAGCAAAGTCAATCCACTCGTGAAGGGTCGAGCACTCTGCTCGCAAAGCCACCGCGGAGCCAACCGCGAGCCACTCGTTTGTTTTGTTTTTGTTTCGATGCTTTGCTGGTGTTTTCCAGTCTACCCTCTGCTTTTGCTTGCTTGCCGTTTTCTGTTTGCTTGTGCTTTTCTGCTTTTCCGGTTTTCTGCTTCTCTGCGTTTTCGCTCCTCTCCTTGCCTGCTTCGCCTTTCCGTGTCTCTGCTTTTCTGCTTTTCCGATGTTCTTTCCGCCTGTGTTTGCTTGTCGTTTTCGGCTTGTTCCAGCTTTTGTTTTTCTGCTTTGCCGCTGTTCTGCGTCCTTCCTTTTTCGCTCTCTGCTTTCATGCTTTGCTCTTATGCTCCTCCGCTGTTCTGCTTTTCGTTAGTTCTTTCCGCCTGTCTTTGCTTATCACTTTCTGCGTGTTCTTGCTTTTACTTTGCTTTTCTGCTTCCTTGCTTATCTGCTTCTTGGATCGCCAAAAGAAAAGAGGGGGCGGGTTTAAGACATGTGGTCAACCGGGATCGCCTAACAGGGTGGGGTGTTTAAGATATGTGATGACTAAGACTAGGACTGAGAGAGGTTATCAACCTGGATCGCCAAATGAGGGGGCGATTTTCGGATATTTGTCGGGATCGCCAAAGAAGGGTAAGATAGGTGATCAACCTGGATCGGTAAAGGAGGGGGCGCACTTCAGCTATGTGATGAATGGGAGTTGCCAAAAGAGGTGGCGAGTTTAGGCTATGTGATCAACCGGGATCGCCTCGTGAAGCAGCGTGTAAGGTGCCAACGTCCTGTCCCCGCACCGGGCCTCCGCCAGCACCCCGGGACAGCCCCACGACAGAACCGCCAGACTAGCCGGGCTAGCCGTGGGTTCCGCAGTCGAAATTTCGCGCGGATGCTAACGTGTCCTTTCCCATCCGCCACTACTTCAGAATTACTCCTTCTCAGGGGGACTTTATCCAGAATGACCACGGGCATGTATACCGCTTCCTTCGCCATTCCAAGTCATGCTATCTCTGGCTCGTTCGGACATGTACTGCATGTTAGTAGCGAAACTACCTAATTACGAGACGACGCCAGCACACATAGTCGTAGCAAGTACCTCGTCACGAGGTACGTGCGCTCTCTCCAGCCAATGACTGCGCTGTTGTTCCGACGCAGCTACGTCCACAATGTGTTGTGACTATCGCAGGACTCCTCTCAGGAGTCGGCTGTTCCCTGGCCTCTTGGCCAACGGGTCAGCCAGCGTATACTGGCCTGGAATCCAGTAGACAAGCTGAATCATCTCAAGGTTGCTACTAGCCTCTGAACAACACATAAACGACACTATTTTGCTTCACGATCGAGATTCGAAGAACGGAGCTGCTCCATTCTGACACTGTCATCGACCGCAACGACAGTGGCCTTCCTGACCTTTGCAAAATCCACCTTCGTCAAATCTCGGAGGGCCTGTGTGTGACCATGGGAAGTAAGTCACTGACACCGTCTGCGGTCAAGTCCAGAACCACACGCCGAACTGCGCCACTGTAACAGTCCTCTGTCCAGGAATTTGTTTCATAACACTGCCTCTCCATAGCAGTGGCCCGTTGACGCTCCACTTGGTTGTTGCTCTCCCTCAGGAGTGTGACTCTGTGGAATCCCTGCAATGCAATGCTTTGTACCACTTGGGATTCTTGTCGAGTTTGTGACTCTCCTGACGACGAAAAGCCTTTGTAGCGAACCCAAGCAATGTGTGTGAGGGTGCCTTTCCCGACCCTAAAGCTCGGATTCCTGCTCTCTGACTATCGCGCAGCGCCACAAATGATCCCGTTATCTTGGCTCTGACACTGCATCTGGAAATCTTGCTCTGGTCTGTGGTATTCAGGCTGGGTGCACAGCTTGTTCAGTCAAAACCCACAACACCATGCTTTCGTGCGCCGTTGGCGAGATGCATCAGATGAGATTCAAACGAACTTTGGGTGCGACTGTCGTCTGGATGTTGAGAGCCTGATTTTGCTGATCCTCTATTGATCATTCTCCAATCAGGGTTTCGTTGTGGTGTCACTGTTTCTTTCGGCTGGCACGGCTTGTGCAGGTCTATACTTCAGAGAGTGCAGCGCCGTCGACAACCTTTTGGCGCTGTTTCCGCCAAGCCCCGGGGGATCGGATCTGCACGGACAGTTCGTACACAACCCGGAGCAAAAACACAGCAGGCTGTCGAGCTGGCAAACTACAGCAAGCAGCAGAGCTTCACAGCACGCAGGAACCCCAGTCACGACGGATGGTTCGATGTAACAAAGTGTCAGATCTTTGCCAAGGAAGACGGCGCTGTCCAGACTTCGAAGCTTTGGCAATGCTACGCTGACTGAAGGCTGCTAGGTGAGCTGCCAGTTCCAGTCTTCGCGGCTTTGGGATTTGGCAGGTGTCTCCGCTTCCCAGCCGCTCATGCATGCCAAGCGGCTCATCCGAGCCCTGGATGCCGGCCCCCTGATGTCACGCGAGGTGCGGCCTTTACGCTTCAGCATGCTTTGCAGCACGCGAGGCGTTGAAGGGCTCGGAGAAGGACCGTCGGCTCGGCGAAGTCGGTGCAGCTGCTCTGCAATTGGATTCGCGCAAGGAGTCCAAGCTGAAGACAGTCCAGGAGGAGGACATCGGCGGATAGCAGACCTGGACTTGTGTCGAGTGACATGGACGAGTGAGAAATCCACATGCAGCCCCTCGAAGTCGTAGCACCTGCTGGAGAAGATTGCAGAAGTATGGACAAGACTTCACATCGGGGTGCGGGCAAATGCACGAGTCTTTATCTATAGGTGAAAGGTGGCAGATGTTGGAAGTTGGCATGGACAGCAGGTTCGGGACTTAGGCCTGGCAGGGACAGGGAAGCATGCCGTGGTGTGATGGGCGCCTCGCTGTGCCATCCAGACGAGAAGAGCCAGGGCCCGGCTCTTGGCTCTTGGCTGTCCCCAAGCGCCTCTCGCCCCGAAAAACTGCTCTGCCCCGCGGCGGCCGAGGCCCGCAGCTCGTGCGATGCGGTGACAAGGCCCTGAGATGTGGCAGCCTCAGCGCGGCCGCCGACTCTTCATGTGCATGTGCCGGCATCCGACGACGAGGTGTGGGGAGATGCGACGCGGTCCCGTGTGGCCTGGGCGAGCAGGAGCCGCGGTACAGCCGACAGCTCGGATGGGTCGGAGCTCTGCTGAAGGGTCTGGCGGCTGGCGCGCAGTTTCAGGAACCTCCCGAGAGGAGGAGCTTATCGGAGCTGGGGGCCTAGCAGCTTTGCGCAGCGTTGCGCAGCTTTGCTCTCTTCGGTCGGCTTCGCTGAGAATTGGACCAAGCTGGAGCTCGGTCTGTTGGCCGGAGCGACGAACAGGCCACCGAGGTTTCGGGAAAGCTTAAGCGACCTGAAGAAAGACAAACTTTACACAAGACGATGCCCCAACCATCTGCGCGTTTGCTACTTGCAGCTGCCTCAGCGGGTGGTGAGCACATTTGTTCTGAAGGTTTATTGGGGATGAGCTCAAGAGTATAGCAACACAGGTCGACATGGATAAAACAATGATACATGGACACACTTCCTGTAGCATTGCTGATGTTTGGGAGACTACGATCCTAGCCTCCTGAGCTGAATAGAGATTCTGCCACGACACTGAAGCCATCCGCATGCTTGAAAACCCGACCTCGTGTAGGTGCCCCCGACCGCTGCCTCTCCTCGTCCCGGGTGGTATGGTCACCCACTTCGGAGGTGCCAGCTTGAAGGGAACAGGTGAGGCGGGAGGGACAGGGCGCCAGCCTCATCAGGAGCTCCCCTGGAGCCAACGGAGCCGGCAGATGCTGGAGCCACGGGACCATCAGGTTTTACGGTTTTTTCTGAGCTTTTCCGCTCCGCGCTCTCTGAGGTCTACGAGCTCAAGGCACTGCTTGGGACCCAACTCCGCACCGCCCCGTCGCATCTCCGCTTTTTGGCCAGGCCTGGCCCATCGGATTCGGCTCTTTCTCGGAGGTTCATCTTGCAAGACATCGGCGAACCAGGCGCAAAGCGGAGCTGCACAGAGCGCTTGCCCCTGACATGTAGAATGTAGAGTCTCGCAGGGTGCTCCGGGCCGTGAAGAGGAAGAAGAAGGCATGCCCTTGCAATTGTTGAGGGGTCCCGAGGGCCGCTATTCGGATCCTTTTCTTTGCGGCTTTACGGACTGCGACCCCAGATGCAAGAACTGCCTTTGGACTTCTCCGTTCGCAGGGAGTACAAATAGGAAATCACAGGGAATCCATTTCTCCAAGTGCCAGAGAGCATCCGAACACTTTTCGCACACGATTGCCGCTTAAGCGCACACCAGCCCCCCTTCTTGGTTTATGAACGTGTAGCAGAACTGATTCCCAGCATTGATCATGCATGTGTACGCCTCTGATGTGTCATTCGGCAGAGTGTGCAAGGGGCACTGTGCAGGAAGCGAGAGCTTGGCCTAGCACAAGTAACGATGTTGCACCAAGTGCACGCAGGAGGTGTGTGCTGGAGGAGTTCGCGCGCGCACAGCCAACGTGCTTTTCGTTGTCGTTCTCTCTTCCTTTGTGAAGGTCGATGGGCGCTGCATGGTAGCCGACACCGATGAGGTTGGGTGGCATGGATCATGGACCATTGTGGGAGTCACCTGCTGGCTTGTTGCAAATGTTATACCTCGCTCTCCTCGCATGCATATGGTCCCTCAATCGCAGGGGGTTTCCTACAGCACCCGGCAAACATGAGCAGCTGCCTAGCTTGTGGCCCAACGTCGCCCTTTCAACGTCATGAGCATCGTCGGCCGCGGATGTTGGAAGCCGGGTCCTGGCCTTTTGCAGAATCTCATACCCTTTCAACTAGCATGATTCTGGATAGTCTGGCCTGATCCTGGCCTCCACTTTCCGGCTTATTGTCCGCACGAAAAGCACGCAGATCGTTTGGTGTTATTGCGCCTCCCACCCAGCGAACATCATGAGCGTCAGCTGTCTGTTTGCCCCAACATCGTCAGCAATCATGATGAGCAGCATTTGCTCCGGATTTTGCAAGCAGCCGCCAATCCGGCGAAAATCTGAAGCATCAGCTGTTTGGCTCTTGCTCCAATGTCGCCCACACGATGAGCATGAGTAGGTTAGCAATATTTGCCATGTGTTTCGCGAGCAGGTGCCATTCAAATGCATGATCAGCGTAGCTCGTTTTGGATGTTGCGAGCATCCGTTCACACAGCAAACATCATGAGCATCAGAGAACAGTTGCTTGACTTTTTGCCAACTGTCGCCCATTCATCAAGCATGACGCGCACAGTTCGGTTTGGATCTTGCAAGCCGTCGCCGGTACAATCGGCATTCATCAGAGCGGCTTTTCTGTGCACCTTCCAGTCAGCATGCTGATAATCGGGTGTGGGACTTTGCAAGCGTGCACTCACCCAGCGAACAGCACGCGCATGAGCTGTTGCTCATCATCGCCCACCCTCATAGCCGTTGCGCCATTGTGTAAGCCGTAGTCCAACCAGAATGAATATCTGCTGTCTGGCTTTGGAATAACACGCATCCGCCCAGCGAACATCATCGGCATCAGTTGCCTGACCTTCGTGCCCGCCGCCGAACAGACGAGCTCATGGTTTTCTCTGCGTGAAACAGGGCTTGCGAAGGTTACATGCTCCCGGAACGGTGCGGTGACAGTATCTGAGTCACTGATGAACGTGTCAACAGCTAGCAGCTGGAAGCTAGCAGGATGTTCGTCGGATGGGGAACAGGTTTCAATACACACGATTTGCATCGAGAAAAAACATTGCCAAGCGGGTCAGTGTTGTTGAATGAACGGCCCAGGCAGCGGATGCTCACGATGATCTCCGGGTGGGTGACAGCCTGCGCAGTCCAACACCAACAATGTCCATTGGCTGGAAGACGTTGGGCCAAATGCCATAGAGCTGATGCACATGCTGTTCGTTAGGTGGTCGACGGCTTGCAAAGTCCAAAACGAAAAATGCACATCATGCTTGTCGAACGGACCACGTCGGGTGAACAAGCGGACAGCTGATGCTCATGATGTTCACTGGGTGGGCGACGCGTTGAAGAATCTAGAACCAATACTGCTGGTCAGTCTTGTGGAATGGATGACGTTGAGCAAAAGCCCAGACAGCGGATGCTAATGATGTTCTGTGTGTGTGGGCGACGGCTTGCGCAGTCCAACACCAACAATGTCCATTGACTGGGAGACGTTGGGCCAAATGCCATAGAGCTGATGCACATGCTGTTCGCTAGGTGGTCGACGGCTTGCAAAGTCCAAAACGAAACAGGCACATCATGCTTGTCGAGCGGGCCACGTCGGGTGGACAAGCGGACAGCTGATGCTCATGATGCTCGCTGGGTGGGCGACCCGTTGGAAAATCTAGAGCAAACACTGCTGGTCCGTCTTGTGGAATGGATGACATTGAGCAACAGCCCAGACGGCGGATGCTAATGATGTTCTGTGTGTGTGTGTGTGTGCGACGGCTTGTGCAGTCCAACACCGACAATGTCGATTGGCTGCGAGACGTTGAGTCCTTTGACAGACAGCTGATGCGCATGCTGTTCGCCAGGTGGTGGACGGCTTGCAAAGTCCAAAACGAAACATGCACATCATGCTTGTCGAACGGACCACGTCGGGTGAACAAGCGGACAGCTGATGCTCATGATGTTCGCTGGGTGGGCGACCCGTTGCAAGATCTAGAGCAAGCACTGCTGGTCAGTCTTGTGGAATGGATGACGTTGAGCAAAAGCCCAGACAGCGGATGCTAATGATGTTCTGTGTGTGGGCGACGGCTTGCGCAGTCCAACACCAGCAATGTCCATTGACTGGGAGACGTTGGGCCAAATGCCATAGAGCTGATGCACATGCTGTTCGCTAGGTGGTCGACAGCTTGCAAAGCCCAAAACGAAACATGCACATCATGCTTGTCGAGCGGGCCACGTCGGGTGAACAAGCGGACAGCTGATGCTCATGATGTTCGCTGGGTAGGCGACCCGTTGCAAAATCTAGAGCAAACACTGCTGGTCCGTCTTGTGGAATGGATGACGTTGAGCAAAAACCCAGACAGCGGATGCTAATGATGTTCTGTGTGTGTGGGCGACGGCTTGCGCAGTCCAACACCAACAATGTCCATTGACTGGGAGACGTTGGGCCAAATGTCACCAAGCTGATGCTGCTCGTTAGGTGGTCGACGGCTTGCAAAGTCCAAAATGAAACATGCATATCATGCTTGTCGGACGGACCACGGCGGGTGAACAAGTGGACTGCTGATGCTCATGATGTTCGCTGGGTGGGCGACCCGTTGCAAGATCTAGAGCAAGCACTGCTGGTCAGTCTTGTGGAATGGATGACGTTGAGCAAAAGCCCAGACAGCGGATGCTAATGATGTTCTGTGTGTGGGCGACGGCTTCCGCAGTCCAACACCAACAATGTCCATTGGCTGGGAGACGTTGGGCCAAATAAAACAGAGCTGATGCACATGCTGTTCGCTAGGTGGTCGACGGCTTGCAAAGTCCAAAACGAAACATGCACATCATGCTTGTCGGACGGACCACAGCGGGTGAACAAGCGGACAGCTGATGCTCATGATGTTCGCTTGGTGGGCGACCCGCTGCAAGATCTAGAGCAAGCACTGCTGGTCAGTCTTGTGGAATGGATGACGTTGAGCAAAAGCCCAGACAGCGGATGCTAATGATGTTCTGTGTGTGGGCGACGGCTTGCGCAGTCCAACACCAACAATGTCCATTGACTGGGAGACGTTGGGCCAAATACCATAGAGCTGATGCACATGCTGTTCGTTAGGTGGTCGACCGCCTGCAAAACCCCATACCGACGATTGCACGCTTTGCAAAATCCCGAACCAATGCGGCGAGTCAGTCTCATTAAATGGATGACATAGGGTAAAAGCCCCAAACAGCTGATGCTCATGATGTGTTCTATACGATGGCCTGCACAGTCCAACACCAACAATTCCAGTCATGGCTGATGAAATGGAGTCCCTGGGCAAATAGCCAGACAGCTGATGCACATGATGTTCGCTTCTTGGACGCTGTTGGTTCGACGTCACCACCCATTCAACGAGCATAATGAGCACGTCTGGATTGTGCGACCGTCGCCCGTCCAGATAATGCTATGACCGTCCGCTGTCTAGGCTTCTGCCAAACGTCACCCGTTCAACAAGACTGGTCAGCAGTGTTGTGGTTTTTGTAAGCCGATGCGCATGACATCACATGACCATGATGCTTTCCGGTTGCGTGACGGCTTGCAGAAGCCGCAACCAACACCGGACACCTAAACGGTGGGTAAACAAACACACACACACACACACACATCCAGTGACATACAGCTGAGGCCAATGATTCTCGGTGGATGGGCTGACGACGGCCTGCAAAACCAGAGCAAAAGCTGTTGGTCAGTGTTGATGAACCGGTGATGACAGGCAAAAAAGGCCTGCTCATGCTCCCACGACTGTCACAACCCAAAGAGATTTTATGCTCATCATGCATTTTGTCTTGTTGCATCCGCAACATTGGTCAACACGCCGAGCAGCTCATGCTCGTGGCATGGTGTCCGTTTTATGTAGCAGAGTCTTGCAAATCCAACCTGCATCATCCGTTGTGCACCCTTTTTGAAAATCGACGAAGAGATAAGCTGCGGCCCATCCATGCGCACTTCAAACTTCTCTCGCGGCAGCTGCATGTCCAGCCTTGCCTCAAGCAGCCGGCGACTTGCACGGTGTAGCAGAGTTTGCCTGAAGACTCCAGGTACAGAAGCACGCTTCCCGAGAGCCCAGCAGACGCCGGAGGGATGAGGCGCGGCGCAGCAGCATCCACTGCATCCACAACATTGCAGCACGACTCGGAGGCCCAAGAAGTTGAAGTCTTGCTGCGCGAGAGCCCTTGGGGCGGCGGGGAGCTTTCTTTTTCCTGTGGCGCTCTTCAACTTCAGGCCTGGACCACCCGAACGTGGCAAAGCAGGGGTCTCGGAGACGGAGGGAAAGTCAGGCTGCAGAGTACTCTCGCAAAGCTCAAGCGCCTGTGGGTTGAGAGGGGTGGGGAAAACCGCCTCGTCCTTCATTGAAGCCGTAGCTGGCCTGGTCCTCCCCTCTCCTGCTACACTGTTCCACCGACTCCTCCGACGGCGATGAGCCACAAGCATCATCCCTGAGGACTTAGATGGACTTAGTAAATAGTCGGCAACCATTGACGCAGAGGATTGCACCTGACAACTCTTGAAACTTACTTCTTTGCGCTGGCGTCACGCAAGGTTGCACTAGATAATTGGAGGAGAAGCAGCATAGGCCAGCAAAGACCAACGGCAAGGCTAACAAGGTTGGACACCGGGTAGTGTAACAGCAGAGTCCGAGAGGCCTGTGAAACAGGATGAGGCAACGGCATGGCAGGTGATAAAACCAGCAGCGGGAGCCCGGAGCCCCCAACCCTCCTCTCGTTACAAACCCGGCGAGAACCGAGTTTCACTCTGTGAGGCTCTACGAGGTCTTCGAGTGCCAGGCTGCGCAGAGCAGCCAAAGCTCAAACTCAGCACAGCCACTTCCGGGTGTGCCCGCGAACCGCGAAAAGGACGACCTCTACCTCGTCATGGAGCTCCTGCAAGGCAGCAAAGTGGCCTTTCCTCCCCGCAGGAACATGACGTGTCGGTGAGGCGGGAGCCTCGCGGAACTGCTGCTCCCCAAGCACCGCAGCCGAATCCCAAGTCACGGAGCCATAGCTAGCGCCGCTAGCGCCGAGCCAGCGCCGAGCCAGCGCCGAGCCTCCGAGGTCCCAGAGCCAAGGCGGTGCAGTCCTGGGCAGCGAGAGAGCCGCAGGAGCTGCCGCAGGAGCTGCCGGAGGAGCAGGCGCGAGAGAGACCCTTTCTGCATCATATGCACAAAGAAGGGCGCGACCCGGAGCAAGGCCGGGGAAGAGGTCACGGCCTCCATGGAAGGACTGAACGATGGTGCGCCTGTGAGAATCAACGCCACTTCGGTCACGCCCGCGAGGACACGTGGGACTGCCAGAGCACGAGGTGCTGGAACAAGTTCAATATATAGGTGTGGTCAGCGTCTGGTGCTCTGTCGACAAGCCAGGCATGCCGGTTGTTCTGGCAAATGCTTGCCGGCATCATGCATTTGCATGGTCACGGTGTGGGCGGCTTGGAGGCAGCAACCCACAAGTTGGCGCACATTCCAAGTCAATATCAGGTCATGCACCGTGACGTCAAGCTCGAGCATTTCATCTTCTCCAGCAGTGACAAAACCCAGGCGAAGCCGCTCAAGGGCTCTGCAACCGCCAGCTTCTTGTCAGCTGCCAGGCTCAGCTGAAACTAGTGGCGGGCCACTCAGGGAGAGAGACAGCTTTCTCTCAAATGTAGCCTTTCGCTTCACAGTCACACATGGTTGCAACGATTTTGGTCGTATCCTTGCCTGCACTGCCTCCGCTCCTTCGCGAGTGGGGAGTCGGTTGTGAATCGTGTGAATCGAATGTCGAGAGCTTGCGTGAGATTTCCCTGGGTGCATCCGTGATTACTTGTGACCGTCCCCGCTTCCTCTGCGGCTCTCGGCATCAGGAACTATGCGAACGAGAAAGGACTCAAATGAAGCACGCTGTTTTAAAAGGCCTTGAGATGCCTTGAGACCCGTCGGAGATCGTGCGGCAGGTCCAGGCTTCGCATGGCTCCGCTTTAGGTTTACGTTCGCACAGCATCTCATTCGCCAACCATCATCACGATCACGGACCTCGAGGACTTCGATGCCAAGTTCAGTGTTTTCGTGACCGGCGTGCGGTGGACGCAGTCCCTCGAGTCGTCTTTACACACCTCTGCCTCTGCCGTGTTCGTCTTCGTTGCTTTGGACCATGGCACCAGCTGCCAAGCGCAGAGGGATGCAGAGGGCGTGACCTGGCCTGCAGGGCAGTGCAGGGCAGTGTGGGCCCAGTGAGCAATTTGTCCATTGCGGACGTAGTGTGATCCGGCTTTATGCCATCGCTGCCAGCATGCGCGCCGAAGCCAGGCCACTTTATGATCTTAACACTGGCAATGTTTTTGCTCGACTTGGGGAGATCCTATTGCCGGCGGTGCTTGACCGTGGCAAGCATGCATGGTCAACCCATCGATGGAGTGTGATTGTGTTTTGATCCGCCAGTCCTGTCTTGGCCTGTCGCGATGTATGCAGTGCCGGACAGTGCAGCTCCACTTGTCGTATGAGGCAACCAATCGCCTTGGCGGCGACAGCGGCGTTGAAGGGCGAATTGAAGGGTGAACGGCGCATCCACGGCATTCAGAGCACCCTTGCTGCTCGCGGCGATCGAAAGAAGAAGCTTATTATGTGCAAAGAGCCACGGCCTAACCTGGACATAAGGGTATCGGGCAGATGTAGTTAAACTGTAGACCTATCAAAGTTCTCAAGCAGTTGGGGGGACACAGGCGCAGAGGCTTGCACGCTTTGTGCTGCTGTGTTTTTTTTTTTTTTTTTTTTNNGTGTGTGTGTGTGTGTGTGCGCCCGTACTGGGGAACCGGCGGTATTTTGCCACGTTGCCCTCCTTGGTTGCTTGAAGCCTGACAGCACCTGATGCGCCACAATTGGAACTGCAGGAGCAGGAACTCGATCTGCTTGAAACTTGACTTGCGTGACTTGCTCTTCTTCTTGTTCTCGGCGGCCGCCGGTGCTGTCGGCGGAGCTCCAATGGACGTGCTGCATGTTCGTGTGGTTAGAGCACGAAACTTAACCGGAAGAGGGACAATTGACAAGGCAGGAGAATCGCTGCACACAGCCAGTGCAAGACTCGAATGACTAGAATTTGTTCTTCGTGTTGGCATTGCATTGCTATTCAAGTCATGCCTTGGAGCTCTATACCGGTGTGAGGTTCGGAATGTGGGGAATGTTGATCTGTAAATATGTTGGGTGGTCGGGCATTCCCACAGCACGGTGGACGCGCGACAGACCCCGAGCTCGACACAAGCACGGGCGAGTAGAGCTGCCGACGTATGCTTTTAGTCGTGCAGTTGACCGCAAAATGTCACAGTGTCGCCCGGACCGTAAGTGCAGGAACGGGTAATTCAGCAGGAAACAGTTCGGACTCCGTGCAAATCTGCTGCCCAAGGATTTCGGCCATGCCTGGCCGCTGCAGGTGCTTTACGGGGCAGACGGAAGGATGGCCCGGCGCTCAGCAGCGCTCCCCCTTTCGAAGCAGAAGCTTGCAATGGAGGAATCCGTGTTCGTGGTGATACAATGAAACCAAACCAGTTAGGCCAACACACGGGAAACGTTCAGGGCTGTAGAATGTTGGAAAGCGAGGGATGTAGGAAAGTACCAGTTGACATGCTCGGTGCAGGTATATGCTGTTGAGGGAATGCACCGCTCGGAAGTCCAAGAAGAACCCCCCCGTAGGAAGCTCTGCTTGCTTGCCAAGCAGGGACAGCATTGGTCCAGAATCCATCGCACTGAGAAGTACGCTACATCCAGCAAAGATTTCTGGGATGGGCGCAAAGGCATAGATCCGAGGTTCAGGAGCTGACCATCCCGGGAGGAGTCGGCACGAACCACTTCATTGCCGGATCCGCAGGAGTTCTTTTTGCTTCAAAGCAATCCTTGCCTTAACGTCGAGGCGCCTGAAGTGAGGGACGATAGCCCGGGCCTAGCAGTCGAAAAGACAAGGACCCCGAACCGAATCCTTGAATCCTTTTCAGGTGAAGTCGTGGCCCACATGGCGGACCGGGCGGACATCTGGCTTGGCCCCTGCGAAGACGATTTGTGACGGCGGAAGTTATTAGGCACTGATCAGGTCCCTCGGCATCTGCCTCCATGCGATGCTGACCGGCAGGACCCGTGGGTGCGCTCTACTTGTGCTCGTTCGGCTGCATCTGTTGGATTCGAAGGCTCTTGCCATGCAGAACTTCGGGCATCAGCAAGGTGTCGAACCCTAGAACCGTGCTTTGCATTGAGCCTTCCGTCCGTCAGCCGAGGCCTCCCAGCTTAAGCAGCGGGGCTCCGCGGTGCCGGAGGCCAGCGGCCTGCTCTGGTGCTCTGGTGCTCTGGATCGGTCGGATCGGTCTTGGAGTCGTTCTTTTGACTGCTGTCAGGAGCCAATCGTTTTGTCTGACGGGGAAAGGCTCTCTGGCTTTGCTCAGGATCTGCCGGCTGCCGAGGATCGCCCGGCTGCCATGAAAACTTGTGCACCAGTTTCCCCAAGGTTGCAGTCACTATTGCAGATGCTGCCGGAAGATCGACCGCGAACGCCTGAGATGCTGTGCCGTGCACACGACATCCAAATGAGCATCATTTCGCCTGTCCAGGACGGCCGAGCAAGTGGCCAGACATCCTTGGCTTGTCAGTTCCTTACGACGGAGGTGCCAGGAGTTTCTCAACACATGCAAGAATGACGAGGCTGCAGCTGTGGAGGCCGATATGAGCCATGCAGCCAGCACGGTGATGCCCAGGCCTGCCGTGCCTTTTGTATCCTTTTGGTAGCCCGAGTGCAGTGAAGGTTCATTAGCGCCCTGAGCATCGTCGCGGAAATCAAATCCATGAGACGTCTCTTCTTCCTTGCGGCGCACTCACGCGCTGACTTTGTGTCGCGTCTCTGAGCTCTCGGTCACTCGACAGGCAATCGCTCGCGAATTGGAGGACACCAACGAAATAGGGGGTGGGGGCAACGACTTCGGATGCAGACTGCGGCCCTGCCCGGCCTCTGCTGCAGGATTCCGAAACCCTTTCGCTGCAGCCTGTGTTTCGCGCCATGGAGGCCGCGTGTTGCGGCCGCTTCCCAGGACATGACGGTTGCGTCTGAGCTGCAGGTTCAGTGTCGGGGGCCGCTGACTGAGCAGTCCATCTCCGCTGCAGTGCAGAGGCCCAGCTGCGCTGCCTCGCTGTGAGACCTCGCTTCCGACTTCCGACTTCCACTGTGGCGCAGGATGCAGAAGTCCAAGCTCATGCCGAGCCAAGAACTGATCCTACAGCTGATGAAGGCCATAGCCATAGCAGACGCAAGCATAGCAAGCCCTCAGTCTCCGTGTGGATCGAGGCCCTGCTTTGTGCCAGGAGCTCAGGGAGGGAGATGCAGACGCTTGTGATGCTTCTGTTCGCACACGGCTCCGGCGTGTTCGGCAGGTGCTCCCTACGATCAACTGCGACGGCTCGGGGGTCCTCGGCTGGAGCGAAGCTTTGGCGGTGGTGCTTCTTCTGGAGACCCAGGACAGGAGCCACTAGGCCACTAGGCCCTACAGTAGGCAATCAAAGATCCAGTGACACAGGAAGGGGCCCGGTCCTGGATGCATGGGCCATGGCAGGCCTCCACCATTGAAAAAGGGAGAGCCGGTGCCTGCTGGATGTGGCCCTTTCTGCAGGACTCCGCAGCGGATCGGGCATGCATCCAGGCCTTCGACAAGTTAGCAATGGGCCGCTCAGCTTCAGCAGCTCGCATGGAGAAGCTGCGGACCCGTTGGGGCCTGAGCCAAGGCGAGACGCGCATCACCGTGAACTCGTGGAAGCCTCAACATCCACAGATCTTGCTAAGTGACCGCCTTCACACGAGCTGACCCTGCAAGGCTTCGCCGCGTGCGCACTTGGGCGAGGGTGGGCCCAAGTGCTGGAGTCGAATCCCTTAAGCAGACGGGCCCTTCCAGGTGAAGCCGCGAGAGCGGCTGGAGGAGCCCGAGGACCTCGCGCTCCCTCTCCCTATAAGACATAGGAGCCCTACTCGTACCTTGTTTTGTGCCTGCCAGCCAGGACATGTTCGCAGAGTCCGAAGCCAAGTCCAAGTGTGGTTGCTTTCAGTCTTTGGAGACGGCGCTCTTCCTCTCCAGCCGTTGGGTGAGGCTCGGCTGGGAGGTCGGCCCTGGACTCTCGCGCCGGGCCGCGGCCTCCCTCGCTTGGAGTTTGGCTCAGTGCAGTCGCGGAGCTGGCCAAGGATTTCCTGTGCATTCTCCACGACCTGCCCCAGCCAGAGCCACTGACAGACACTTCCGAGCCACCCGAGCCGCTGCCGACTCCATCGCGATTGGATGAGGCGGGCCTCGAATCTCCTGTGCCTGTGAGTCTGTTCTGGGAGAGCGAGGAGTTCCAGCGAAGGAGCTCCCTCGGGAGCACAGAGGACCGCCAACAGCTCGGCACGAGTGACGTGCTCGGAGCCGCTGCAAGGAGTACGTCTGGGAAGGACCTTCGCCGTGAAACGCTTTGGTCGTGCAGATTCGTTTATGTTCACGCATCCCGAAATCGGGAAGATTCCCACGTTGCTCCAAAGATGGGCCAATGTTCGCCCAAAGGCGATTCATTGGTGTCAGAGTGCTTGCGGACTCACGGCCAAAGTGCCGTTCTTTGCCCTCTGCTTCGAGGGCAAGCGGCGTGCCGGTGACGGAGAAACGAGGAGACGTGTCGGATGACAATGCACCGCCATGGCCAGCGTCCAGGAGCGTGCTTCTCCGGTACAGCCTCACGATGAATCCACAAGTGCAGCAGCCTCAGCACTTTCAGACTCGAACACGTGCAGCCAGCTTGCGAGCCTAGGGCTTGTGGTCGTGGCTGGGCTTCGAGGCAAGCTTCAGAAAAAAGAAAGCCGCGTCTGTCGCAGCAAGACAGGTGACAAGTGCTGAGTCGTGAGTGTTTGTGCAGGGCGGGTCTTTGTTGCAGACAGAGAGGCAGCGCCTGGCCGGCGGGCCAGGCCAGGCCCGTCTGAGGCCTGGCCATGCCAGGTGAAAGATCGCGGTGTCACGGCCCTGGCAGATTCGCGTAGAAAAAGGGAGGGGGACGGGGGCGAGGATTCCACGCGTAAGACAGATCCTGCCACTGCCACGCCGGACTCTGATCGGGTGCCCCGATGCTGGTCTCCGCTGGTAATTCGGCTCAAGCCTGAAGCAGTGCCCAACGAATGGAAACGGATAGTTCTTGGGTTTGTTGAGAGTTTGCAAGCCTGAGTGTTCTTTATTTGCTGATGAACATAGATAGTAGGACCCAGCAGGACATGCCAGGAGGCAAGAGTGCACGCAGACCCCTCTGCCTCTGCCATCCTCTTCCACTACGGTAACTTTGACAGTGCTTCACCTCGGCTGCATGGCTTGGAAGTCTTCCAGTATGAAGTTGGCACCAGCCTCAGTCAAGGCTCTTCCCTCCACCCCGATCAGCGCCGATTTGTCAAGGATATGACTCTCGACGAGCTGGCAGAGAAGCCCGGGCGCAGGGGGCAAGGGGGGGAGGCCGCCTCGACTTGCATCGAGCTTAATGACCTGCTTGTGGTTTCGCTCTTGTTTCCAGGAGTGCTCGGGAAACAGCGTCTTTGCCTTCCACCCAGTCGAAGAGCGGGGCCAAAACATTTAGTCACTGGTTTCCGGTTCAGCCGATCTGAGTGCGAGATAGTGCGAGCACGCCAGTTTGCACCGAAGCACTGCCGAGTTCAATGCAGCACAGGGGACTGTAGAGCATCGTGGAAGCCACAGAGCCGCTGGTTGCCACAAGCCTCGTCTTTCACCTGGAAACGCCTTCTAAGCCCTCTGTTTCTATCAAGCCAGAGCCCTCGTGAGCATTGCACCAAAGCCACTTTGCCGCTCCAGATGGCTTCGGGTCGAGAAACACTGGGAAGATGGGTCGGAAACGCCTTTGCAGCCGTCAGGTCGGGAATCTGCCCTACAGCTGCACCTGGCAGGAACTGAAGGCGGAGAGCATGGAGAAATCAGCGTGAGAGAAGAGGGGGGGGGGACCCCAAAAGCTCGTTTCATGTGCCGAGCGCAGGATCACATGCGGCAAGCAGGAGATGCCGGCTGCCCAAATCCAAACGTTGTGCGCAAACAAAAACGGAGCAGCGCGGGTTCCTTCTAGGTTCGGTTCGGCTGTGCAGGTGCTGCACTGCGACATCCTCGCCGAGCCCGGGACGGTGCGATCTTCGGAAGAAAGACGAAGTGTTCGCGCCATGCGCCGGTGTGCCTGTCGCAGGCCTTGGGAAGCAAGGGCTGCGGCGGAGCCCTCAGCCTGGATGCGGTGAGCGCTGCCCTTTGCTCTGCGCTCAGGTCTGGTGGAGTTTGCCAATGCGGCTGCTGCAAGAGACCAAGACCAAGCCGTGGAGACACAAACCTCACTAGCTGGATATATTGGCACTGCCGTGGAGGCGACCCGAGCCGTGAATCAGCTGACAGACACCGCAGCTCAGCACGACTGCTTTTTTGGTGCTGCTGCATGTCAGACAAACAGAGTCGAGATGTGCTAAGGAGATCAAAGGGCGTTGGGCTCCCAGCTGGCTCAGAGAGACGGTTCCGTGAGTGACTTGAGCGTCCTAAGCCTCGAGGCAAGATCTTCGTGAGGGAAGATCGGGAGCCCACAGCCCAGAGGCCTTGTCGCCCCTGCAACGAAGCCGTTCCCGTCGTGTCTGAGGCCCCGGCGACCGGCCCAAGGCGAAAAAACTGCTTATTCTTTTTAGCTTTCAGCATCTGCCTGTGGGACAGGCCGCAAAGTGTTCGTCGGGTGAGCTCTCTCAGTCGGACGTCTTGGGGGGGATCTGTGGCGCAAGTACGAGTCGCGGCGACGCGACCAAGGAATCTGCCCTACAGTGTCACCTGGCAGGCCGGGGAGCACACCGTTTCCGCCAACAGCACACACGTCGCGCGTCGCCGCCGCTTCGCCGGGAGGCTTTGAAAGACCACATGCGGCAGTGTGGCGAAGCCCGGACGCCCGAGCTGGAGAGCTGAGAGGCAGTGGCAGACAGCAAGTTCAAATCAACAAAACGAGAGAGAGCGCGAGACTTCGAGCGAGAGCCGGCATGAGCGAGCCTATGCTGGTGGTGGTTTGGGGACTCTCTCCATGAGGTCCTTCGCTGCGACATTCTAGCGGAGCCGGGCACTGCCTCGAGCCCAGCCCAGCCCAGGCCGCAAAGTCCTGGCACCTGCAAAGCCAAGGCGCTGGGATCCAAGGGCTGCGGCTGGGGGCTCACACGAAGTGCAGCTTGCTGCTTTTTCTGTTGGAAGCTCGTCAGGGCTGCCGCAGGTATCGTGGAGTACGCCTCCGCCGCATCGGCGCAGAGGGCCATTCGAGACCTGCGGCGACCTTGGTGCCGCTCCGTTTTGCGTTGCTGCCCCGCCATGCCCTGCCAGCTCAAGAGAGGCTCCCACAAGAGAGGTCATGCCAGCTGCCGACAGCCCTCTCTAGAATGTAACAGCAGCAGAGGTCCGATTCGGAGCTGAAGGGCCGGCTGATCTTCGTGCGCCGATCTGCCTCGAATTGATCTTGCAGCAGGAGAGCGGGGAAGAAATTCCTTCAACGCCAGGGGAGGACCGTGAGGACGACGTCCCATACCGAGGACTGGGACTGCAGTGGTTGAGGCGCCCTTCTGAAGGGCTGAGGGCCAAAGACGGACACTCGAAGGACGGCGGTTGCAGGATCGTGCACCGGCGTCCCGGCGCCAAAAGCTTCGTGGTCCTAGGAACATAAGAAGGCGATTGACATTGCGTGGTCGGGTATTCTGTAGAGATTAACCTGGCAAGCCAGCCTAGAGTCCCTGTTCTCGGCCTTACGCTTCCCTACGGCGACGCCTTCAAGGCCAGAGTTGCTTGGCTTCTTGGAGACCGCCCGGGACCTTTTCTATCCAACCGTCGCTTGTTTTTCCGGGCTGCTCAGAGTTCAAACCCGCAGCAAGCCATACTGAAAAGCATCACCCCGACCAAGCGGCCGCGAAAGCTGTTGTTTGTAGACATCGTGCCGAAACAAGAGCAATCTGGAGCACGCGGTGACACAGCGTCACCATGTACCGACGAGCAAACATGCAACTCGGTCACAGAAGTCGCTGAAGACAAGCTACAGTACCGGCTACGCGGCTTATCGGAGCTCCCGGCAGGTCAGGAAACGTCGCTTCAACTACCACCATGCGGCATCGCAACGAAGACCGTAGCCAGCAGCCACACGGGTATACTGGTCTGAAGCTCCCGAGTTCTTTCTCCAGTGAAAGCAAGGCGAGACCCTTCTCGGCTCCCTCTCCTCTCAGGCTCCAATGCGGGCACGGAGTCGGCGGGGCCTCCTGGATCTGTCTCGCGGCTCGTGGCGGAGGCTTTATGTCTCTGGGAGCCGAGAGTCTGCATGGAGGTCCTACGACGATCGGAAGTGGCGACCGGTTCGTGGAGGGTACTCGGCTGAGGGAGGCATGCGAACGCGAACTTGCTTCCCCGTATCGGGCCTTACCGCCACCAGTGCCAGGGAGTGGCTGCCGAGTCTTTGTCGGGAACCTGGCCTACAGCAGGGCCCTGAAACTCCCCTCTCTCTCTCTCTCTCTCTCTTTGCGCGCAATCCGAGCGCGTAGCCGGTTTCCATTGTCCAGGTGTGACCTGGCAGGAGCTCAAGGTCGCCAGTCGCCTATGCCAGTACCGCAGTCAAAGGCGTCTTCGTGGCCAGGACCACATGCGGGATGCCGGCCAAGTGATGTCGGCTGCCTAAGAGCGAGGGTAAGGGAGCACCATATGGCGCAGAGACCGGTGTGTGTGTGTGTGTGCAGATCGGGGGGAGATCGGATCTTTTGGAGGTTCTGCCAGATCCTCAAGGAGCCCGGCACCGCACTGGGCCGAGCCCTCGGCCCTCGGCCGTAGGGGCTCCGCCCCCTGCAGAGCGCGCCTTAACAGCCAGGTTCCAAGGGCTGCGCGCTGGTGGAGTACAGCACCCCCAAGGAGGCAAGGAAGGCTATCAACATGATGACCGACAGCGAGCTCCGAGGAAGGACTTCTTGCAACGAACCGCACACTGGAGATGAAGCGAACGAAGTACATTCAGAAGAGCCGTCTAGCAGTATCCTTCTGAAGTGCAGGAAGATATGGGTGCGCGAGGACCGTGAGGCCACCGGCTTAAACGCGGCAGGGTTCTTGAGCCATGTCACACACGGACAGCCGAGGAGTGAAGAGGGAGCTGCGTATCGATAGAAAAAGGGCGCTCTTTGCTTGCCAGATGCCAAAATTCGGGAAGCCCGTTCTCCGGAGTCTCTCAAGGTCTTTGGGATGAGAGGCTTCGATTTGACTTCGGGCCTGCGCTATTCAGAAGGCAGCATTCTGCTGTGCATGGCTTGGAGGACAGAGAGAAAGCATGATGCAAGCATTCTAAAGGCAGGATTCAATGATGCAAGCCGCACCTCCAACTAAAGGCCTTTGAAGGTCCAAGGCCGCCATGACAAGCACGGACACCGGAAGCTACTGTTTGCCGGTCTTGGGGGAAGTCCCAGATGCCTCATGTCAGAGAAGGCTCGACTGCACTGCGACGCATCACATCGGCTCATCACGGTGCATCAGGATGTTTGAATGTTTGAGCTCTTTCGAGTTCTTTGCTCAGTCGTGTGCTCAGTTTTTTTAAGCGTCTTGGCGTTCCGGCGGGTGGAGAGTTTTTGGACACCGAGGGCAGCTGTGCTCGCCGCGGGACTGATGGGACAGCCCCGCCACCTCAGAGCCAAAGTCGGCGGCTGAAGGGCGCAAGGATGCGATGTTCTGCATTTCGGCAGAGATCTCTTCAGGCCGGCCGGACTCCAAAGGCACCGGCTCGTGACGATAGCGCCGTCTAGTGGGCCAGAAACGGAAAACTCGAAGGCGCAAGCTTCCTGGATGCCCTGTCACTGAAGCCTCGACCTCGCCATCTGCCACAGTGGCCAATGACCCGCGGGCGCAGACACCAGGCCCTCCGTGGTCGACGATGGCGAGTTGCTGTTCCCACCCCGCCAGGCCACAGGGACAGAGCCAGAAACTGCTTCTGCTTCTCTTCTTGTTTCGCCTCTGAGGTGCGACCGAACCGAGGCTCCAGTGCACCTCGACCCAAGAGTGGAAGGCGGTTTTTGGAAGCTCCCGTTTCATCGCCTGCCCAGCCGTGTTTTTCATTGTGGCAGGTGGTCCCAGCGCTCGCAGTACACCGGCGCCGACTTCCAGGCACTGCCGCACTCACAGCTCTCTGCCTCTGCGCTCTTTGCCCCCGATATCCGGAGGACCTCCCCAACGCCGCCGGGGCGGGCGCCCTGCGCCACTGGCCAAGTGAGTCGCGGCCCTAATGAGACCCGAGGCCTCAGAAGCCTGCGCTTTTGGGCTTGTTGGCCGGTAGGGGCAGCGCGCTCCTGAAGCGCAGCCCCTCCGATGCGGGTTTTAGGCGCGCATTGAAAATCAATGTGCGGTGCTAACGACAGCTGAGCCCGACTTTGAGGCATGGAAAGCTTGCGTGGTTTCTTCAGACTTTCAAAGAGCTGCTAGAAGGGCTCAGTGAGCCGACGCCTCCACGAGCCTAGAGCAGTTCTACGATGCAGTGCTTGGCTCGCTCCGCTTGCCGGCCGTGGCGTGGCCACAGGCCAGGCCGTGGCTCAGCTGGGTTCCGGCTGCCAGCCCGCTCTTCCGTTCAGCCGTTGTGTTAGCAGGGGCAGCGGCGTGTATGGCTCGCGGCAGAGGCCGCCCATCCGGAAAAGGCCCTTGCAGGGAAGTCCCGAGAAGCGAAGACGAAGCGGAAAGCTTCCAGGATCGGCCAGGGAGCCGCCGGATGATGCCGCGCCATCGTCAGCTGGGCCCTTGCCTGAGCCCGATGTGACGCCCTCGTCATCTGACTATCCGACTCAATCCTGTTCGTTCTGGAGACTGTGATTTAAGCTTCTGCTTGCCACATGTTGCCAGCATTGAGTCGTGGATCGTAGAAATGCAGCATGGCTGGTCCTTGGATTGACTAACCAGTTTGTGAAGCCACAGCCAAAAAAAGAGGAAACGACTCGAAATCGACGTGATTCAGAAGAAGGAATCAGTCTTCCTTGACAAGGTGCTTGCATTGCGAAGACCCGGTCTTCGTGTTAGCCGCGCTAAGGCGCGGCATCCGACGAGACCGTCCGCCGCCGGGGCGCTCAGAGCGCCCGCCGCGGGAGGAGCTGGCGGTCGCGGAGGCGCCCCGCGGCGAGGCGCCCCGCGAGGCACGTCCGGCGCCCGGGGGCCCAGCACCGCGACCTCTCGGCGCCCTCAGAAAGAAGGGTCTTCTGTGCTCCGAGCTCTGCGCATCCTCAAGGAGGCGTGGGGTGGACCGAGAGATCTACCGGCTGCAGCAGGACACTCGTGCTACTGCGCCTTGTGCAAGTCAGCAAGTGTTGGCTATCTTGAACAGTGCTCTGACTTTCAATTCACTCGCAGTCGCACAACTATCTCTCGATCCCCAAAGCAGCCTTTGCACGGGTCGTCAAAGACATCCAGCACGTGCCTGAGCGCTGCTCTGCGATCCGCCAGTTGAAGCCTTGTACCCTGAGCAGGTCCAGCTTCGCCGAGGAGGGCGGGGGGAAATGGCACGCCGTGTGGCACCATATGGGGGTTTCCGAAAGTAGGGGATCCCAATATAGTACCCTAAATAGTAGGATCCTTATTATAAGGACCCCCTTATAACACTCCCCTATAGCCTTGTAATAACACTTTATCTTCGAGTCTTCTGCAATTGCCGGGCCTCGCTCCTGAGGAGCCCTTGCGCTTCAGCACAGAAGCTCTGGAACTCTTGCAGGCGGCCACCGAGGAGATCCATTCCCCTTTTTGGGCATGCAGACTTTGCAATCATGTGCACTGCATGGCTTTGCAACGAGAAGGAGTACCCCGAAAGAGAGAGGCTGTCCCGAAGATCCTTTTGAGGAGTACTTAATGTACCTCTTTGCCGATGGGTATCTGGCCTCGACCTCAGATACGCCTCTTTGCCAACAGCAGAAGACCTCGCACTTTTTTTGCTTGTTCAAGGCAACGGCCCATCGGCGGCGCGTGACTCTGAGCTCCGAGGATGTGCGCCTGGTCCGGCGCTTGCGGCAGCGCGGCACTCGTCTTCACAGGAAGTTTGCAACACGGAGCCCACTCCACGGAGCCTGGGTGCCTGGCATGGGAGCTTGACTGAGGCCCCACTGCTGGGGAGAGACGCGATAATCTGTGCACGCTGGACCGGTGCTGGAGCTCCAATGGACTCAACTGGTTGCTGCATTTGTTTGTTTATGCGTGTGAGCCGGGGCAAGATGTCTGTCATGCCCAAAAGTCCCAAAGGCCTGTGGCCAAGCCATCGCAATTCTTGGCAATGAGCCTTGGTGCTAAATGTCCCCCTCAAGACTGACACGCGGTTCATGGTGGCAGGGCGAACCTTGTCACAGAAGCGGCTCAGGGGCAAAGAGTCTCATTCAATGAATGATGCCACCGCCATGGCCGGCATGAAGTGCTTGAGATCTGTTGCACCTTGCCTTGGGCGAAGCGTTTTGTTCTGGAATCGGATGTTTGGATGCAGTGGGACTGGTGCCAATGCTGGAAGCACTTTGTGCAGGCACATGTAGGCATGCTTCGCGGAATCGCCGTGTCCTTGTCTGCCTGCTTAAGTCTACGGACATGTCCATATTGCTGTAAAGCTATTGGTACTTCTGGCACCAAGTCACCAAGTTAAAGATTGTGTAAAGCAGGTCCGAGGCTGGCAGACACCTCACCCGGCTCGTCGGTAGGAAGCATCCATTTGAGCAGGAAACCGTCACGCTCACATGCGAGGCAAGAGACATTACCGTATTGCCTGCTCGATATTTTCTCCTATGGTTCCAGGTTAAACCAGGTTGAGCTGGTTCAAGCTAGAGTGGTGGATGCGCGTGCTTGAGTTAAGTCGAACACCAATGGATATGTCTACTGCCCAAGGGTCATTGGGTTCACGCGCAGGTCGATGTTTTTCGTCTCTTGCCGCTTTGCACAAACATGCCGGCGTGGCCTGAACTACAATATTCCTGATGCTCGTGCCTTCAGACATACCGGTACCGTCCAAGTTCAGGCTTTGCCGGCAAGCGACGCCCGTCTTGAATTCTTGAGGGGCAGTTGACAATTATTTGCCGGCAGCTTCAATCAGGCTGCTGCCGCTGTAGGAAGCGTTTCACAATTCAGACGTTGCTATATTCGGGTTCTCTCCAGCCTTAGCACCAAGATGGAGCAGACAGTCCTAAGCAGTTAGAGGGTTGCAGTGAGTTCCATATCTCCCGTTGGCTGCCGTTCTCGTCAGAGCGCGTTACCAACAGGAGATCGGATGAACAAGCTGCGAGCAGCGAGCGTAGCGGTGCCTGCCCTTTGCACGCTCGAGCTTCGGAGCTTCTTGGCGCTTCCGCCGCGGTCCAAGCAATGCTCGACATGGCAAATGGACTACCAGCTTCGTACAAGTAGCAACCGCCTCTGATCAGCCACTTCCGGTGCAAAGAGACAGGACTGTTCGTTTTGTTTATGTCGCTGATATGACCGCCATGCGAGCCATGAGAGCCAACCGTTGCTGGAAGGCTTGTATTAATTGGGCACCGGTAGCACCCTTTGTTGCAGTTGTACAGCGAGGGCCTGTTCCGTACAAGGCCTGGTATCGGAGCCTGGCAATCGCTTTCGTGGTCGCCTTATGCGATGAAGTGAAGCTTCGTGGTTTCGCTTCTTCGCCGCGGAGATTTCAGGCTTGCTCTGTGCAGAGCTTGGGATATGTGGCTCCGGCGAGCAGAGCCCGCATCTCGAGAGATCTGTGCGTCCGGTGAGCTTGAAGCCTTGACGAAGCTTGGCTGAGGGCAGCGGACTTCCCAAGCCCAAGGCCGTTGGAAGCAGAGTTTCGAAGATGCAGAGCTGTCTCAACAGGACTTATGTTCAATTCCCAGAATTGTGTCCCCACTGAGGCAGGAAGCAAGGAAGGCGTGTTTCCGAGCGCACCGGCGCTGGTGCTTGCTGCTGGTTGGGGTCTACATCATTTGTGAACTTTCGGACTGTTTTGTTTGTTGGCCTGGCGAGCATGCTCCTGCAGCAATCGCAGAGGGCAAATGCCTTTAGCAGTGGCAAGGTAGCAAAGGGCTTAACACCACTCTGTGGCTTTGTGAATGCATTGTTGCGCATCATGCTGCTGCATCTTCTCTCGAAACCAAGCGCTGCTTGAGCTTTGTGAGATGCAAGACATGCTGCTGGCAACAAGCCCGGTCACGCCCAAGTTGAAGCATGTGCTGACGCCTGGGCACATCCGTGCAAGGACCTCGCCCAGTGCGGAATGGGAGAAGCCTCATCTGAGATTAGTTGCCCTTGGCCTGGGCAGTGCCCTCGTCACCAGAAAAGCAGTGCTTCCAAGCTGCAGTGCAAGCAGCGCAAACCGCCAGGCCAGGAGGGCCGGCAGGGCCGGGAGGGCCGGGAGGGCGGCCACCCGGGTGGCGCTGAAGGCCGCTGAAGGGGAGGCGGAGGACCCACTCCTCGCGGAGGCCAAGGCAGCGGCGGAGGCCGCGAAGCTCCAGCTTGAGGCTGCGAAACTGCGGGCCGAAGCCGACGAGATGCGCCAGGCCACGGCCGTGGCGCAGCGCAAGGCGCGGGCCGTACGGCTCCTGGGCAGCGAGGACGTCCCGGGCATCGGGCTTCCTGGCCTTCCTTGACGCTGCTGTTGTTTTCTACAACAGAAATATATAAAGCACAGCACAGCAGTCCAGAGCAGATCCTACAGTAGTCCTAGCGGTGCCTGTAGCTCTTTGGCGTAAGTCTTTGGAGCGAATCGCCGAAGGTTGCCAGAGTTGATGGCGCGGCTTCAGGAAACGGAGGGTGTGAGCTTGACCGGTGAGCAGGCCTTGGGCCTGGCTGCGGCTCTGGGCTTCTCAGAGGAGCCCTACTTCTTTCGCTTCGAGGAGCTGAACTCCGAGACCTTCGACACGAAGCTCAAAGAAATAGAGGCGGCAAGAAAGGCCCAGCAGGCGGAAGAGGCCGCGAAGCGCCGAACGGAAGAAGCCGCGAGGGCGCAGGCGCAGGCGGCGCAGGCCCAGAGCCAGGCCGCAGGCTCCACGTCGGCTTCGGCTCCTTCGGAGGTCAACGACGATCGCAGCCGCTGGGCGATCGCAGTGATGATACCTTCATTCATTGAATCTTTGGGTCTTTGGGGTCTTTGGCTTTGGTTTTGTTTTTTTTGTTTTGGGAGCCTTTTTGGAGGTGCATCGGCATTTTACTGCTTGTTACTACGCAGGTCTTGGCCCGAGGCTGCTGGGGTCCTTGGCCTACATTCTGCCGGTCACGGAGGCCTTCAAGCTGATGTTGCCCCTGATTCAGGTCTTCCCTCCACTGGGAATTGTCTTCGGCCCCATCACCTTGCTGACGGTGTTGCTGAACTTTGCTCCCTTCGTCCCCTTGCTCCTCTTCGTGCTCTTCATTGTCCTTGCACAGTCCAAGGCCGCGACCTTGACCTCTCTAGCTCTTGTCACGGGGTGGAACACGGTAGACCAGCTGAGGACAATGTCCCCAGGTTCCTGCGCTTCAACCTCGAGCAGGCCGGCGGAGGTTTTAGGCCTTTTAGGCCTCAGGCTGGCGCAAGGTACAGCGGCTTCGCCCCTGACAGGCCGTGCTGCTAGACATGGCGCTGACAATTCCCAGCTTCATCCTCTCAACCATGCAGTTTTCCGGCGCTGTCGAGGCAGGTCTTGTGCACGGCTCGTGCATGAAGTCTCTTGGACGGTCCTCTCAGGCGGTTCTCGTGGGTGGCGCCTTTGTCTTCGCGTTGGTTTTTGGCATCTCCGTGCGACTCGGATTCATCGGTGGCCTTTGCTCTGATCCCGCTTGTGAGGCCGCATATGGCTGAATGATTAGAAAGCAAGCTTGGCAGGTATGCGGTGCTTTGCAACCTAGATGGAAAAGATCCGGATGGAGTTCCCCTTATTTCCAACATCACGAAGAACGTCGTGGACCGACAAACCTTTTTCGACGAGTCACCCAATGAGGATCAGCAGTAAGACTGCGTTTCTGTCCCTCGAAAGGGTTCGTCCATGTGGGTGCCAAACGTGCGCCTCTGGTGTAGGAGACGACAAAAGGCCCTTTGCAAGTGTTTGCTCATGTTGCATTGCGGCCGTGTGATCTCGCATTGGCTCTGGCAGTGCTCAGTACTTCTGGATTCTGGCATGTCAACGGATCCCCTTGGGCCGTATGCGAGCACACCAGCTGCAAATTGTTTAAGTGCTGCTTGCCGGACATGAGGCTGCGGAGACGCCGATATATTTGGTTAAGCCCAAAGCCCTCGCATCACCAATGATCACCAATGCGCCGAAATGAAGTGAAGCTCGGGATGCAGACAAAAGTCCGTCTCTGCCGGGTTCCTCTGCCAGGAGTCGCAGCCGCTCTCCCCGCCAAGAGCTGTCAGCGTCTGAGCGTATAAAGGGGCATTGTAGGGCCACGGCTCACAATTCCTCAGCTCCTTTGCTCGCTACTCGCAAATTTTCATGGTGTTGCAAGGCCGCCGCGGCCAGCTCGGCCAGTGCCGGTTCGGCGCAAGGCTCCGTCCTTTTTCCACGCACTGGAGCTCATCTTCAGAAGTGCACTTCAGGTGCAGAGGCGACTCGTCTCGCCGTTTGCACCGTGGAGGACAGGCGCGCCCTCTCCCGCAGACGCGGGTGCACCTTGGCTGGCGGCAAGAGCGAGCATGAGCTTTTGTGATGGGCAGGCGAGCCACGGGAGTTTTTCTGGAAGAGCAGCCGCCTAAATGGAAGGGCTGAGCCGCGTGTGAGCCGTTTGGAGAGTCTCCAGAGCTCGCTCCAGGTGGTTCGTGGAGCCGACAGGGGACTTCGAGAACTGGAGGTCACGAGGCTCAGGGGCTTTCGTGAATGACGCCGGCCAGCGACGGACTCCTCGTGGTCGCAGGTCCCGATGCGGTGAGTGTCAGGTGCAGAGCGGCGGAAACTAGGGCTGAGGCGAGGCTGCAGCAAAAGCCGATTTGGGACCGACACCCCCACCCGGCCCACAGCTGGACCAGGATATCACCTGCCTGGAATGTGTCAGCCACGTGTCGGAGCACCTGGCGGTTCTTGCCCACAGCACACGGGGAAGAAGTCTCGAGATGCAATGACGGCCAGGACCTCCCTTTCACGTCGCATCCAAGGGATGCGCTTCTGCCAAGCGAGCGGCGCAGGTGCGCACACCGGGAGAGAAACAGAAAGAGAGAGAGCCACCGAACCGTGAAGTGTAGCAGGATGCCACAACAGTAACAGGAAGATACAAGGATGTTGCAACGGGGGAATGGCTCAACAAAAGCATGGTCAAGTCCTACAACAAGTACCAGACCAGACATGCAGAGCGAAACCGCACGGGGGAGAAGACAGACAAGCTAGTCCGTATAGTGGACAAGTACCTCCCGCTGGTGGCAGAGGAGACCCGCATCTATGCTGGTCGCTTCCGGCACCGTGTGGGGGAGCTCTTACGACAAGCATGCAGAGTCCGCAGCAAGGCCATCACCAAGCAGAAGGGAGCGCACACGGAGCCCCACCAAAGACCGACATCGACAGTGAGACCACCGAAAGGGGGAGGCAGTCCAGCCAAGGCTGCAGAGAAAGTGACAGAGTCGACCAAGACACGGGAACAAAGCGGGGATGCACGGCCGCAGTACAGCCTGAACGCGAGGATGCGACAAAAGAGCGAAGTGACGAAGCAGCAAGCCAGCCCGACTGGGGAAAAGCACCGACGCCCCGCAGAAGCGCCCAAACGGGCCCAGTACTGAGGGGCCCAGTACTGAGCTGCCACGACAACACCAACCTACGACGTCCCCTGCCCTTCTCTCAGAGCATGTGTAGGCCATGACTGATGTACGAGCTCTGACTGCTGAGTTCTTCTTTAATTTCCAACCTACGAAAAGGCTGAATGACGACTACTACGGAGAGGGGGATAACGTCTAGCTGTTCCCCGACCCAAGCTGGCAGCATGTGCAGCAGATTCAGGCGCACATGGCAAAAAGTCGTGCGAGAGGGGGAAGACAGACCGCCCCAGCAAGGAGGCCGACAACAGTAAGGGGGGGCGCTTCCCGTGAGCTTGCATGTTTCTCGAACTAAGGAGGAAATGCACCCTAATGATGACGGACTGCAGAGCCATAAAATGCTATATTGCAAGGGCTTTGTGTCCACAAATTCGTATAAACAATTCCGAGTAGTACACTGCGCATGGGGGGTTTTCGAATAGGCAAGCTGTGTCAAAGGTGTGAATTTTGTACATGGGCCCCGTGGCCCTTTCTCAGGCAAACCAAATCAAACTGGGCTGGACACTAAGCCCAGGTTTTTGCTAGGTTTTTTTCAGGTTGCCAACAATTTCGGGGGGAGGAGGCTTAAGTTCGTTTCCGTTCCAACTTGTGGCAACCCGAAGACTGCCCGATGTCGCGGGGAATGCACGTTTGTCCTGCTTCCTTCGGCAGGCTGGCAGGACGGACGGGGGCATAGTTGCCCTTGGATGTTTGCTCGTTTGATGTCAATTGACTAGGGGCACGTGGCTGCCGGCGGCAGTGTCAACTTTGGACGTGTGCAGCCGAGCCGGCTGGGGGAAACCCCCACCGTGGAAATCCTCAAAACTTTGTGGCCCGCAGGTGCGCATTCGCGCGAGGTACAGGGCCGGACCCTCCCACCTGGTAGAGAGAGAAAGAGAGAGAAAGAAAGAATGAATGAAAAAGAAAGAAAGAAAGACTGAAAGAAAGAAAGACTGAAAGAAAGAAAGACAGAAAGAACGACAGAAAGAAAGAAAGAAAGAAAGACTGAAAGAAAGCAAGACAGAAAGAAAGAAAGAAAGAGAGAGAGAGAGAGAGAGAGCGAAAGTGAAAAAGAGCTCCAACTGTTGGTGCCCCTTAAAGCCTCTAAACAGGGGCGCGCCTCTCGGCGCGGGGGGCTTGATACGCCTTCTGAACCCCGAAGTGAAGTGAAGTGAAGAGAGAGAAAGAGAGAAAGAGCCGTAGTATGCTTTTTTCGCAATCCAGATATCATGCCAAAACTCAGCCACCACGCCTCCAGTGTCCCACAGTTTTTCACGTCCCCTCAAAGCCCCATAGCATATAGGGGGCCACTAGGCCGGGGGACCTCAACAGTCCCCCATGCCCAATGAAAGAAAGAAAAGAGAGAGAGAGAGAGAGACAGACGGGAAGCCCCGTCATATTGCGATTCCCAGGCAAGCCACACTCGATGCTCTAGCATCGGTGATGCAGGCCAGGCTGGTTTCTCCTTGGAGGTCGGGTGCACTGCCTCCAGTTCTAAGCAGGTCTCTTTTTACGTGTGCTTTCCGGGAGGGATGGGAGCATGGAGCTCTGCCGACGCGCGGCTGCGGGTGAGAACGCCTTCTGCAAGTCTGCCGCCGTGATGGTACCTGCTTGAAGCAGGGACGTCCCGGTTGCTTTCACACTGCAAGTTCGCCCTCAACCAGCATCAGAGGGCTCAGCTTTTTCAGATTTGCAGCACGATGTATCCTGCAGGCCTGCAGTTGCAACAACGGTAGCGCATGTTGCCCGCAGGGAAACGCTACGTTCAATGCTGCTGTTTCACAGCTGATCAGCCGCCGCCCGGGAGTCCATTCGACTTTCTGGCGCCCAGCTTCGCAGCCACACGCCGACAATTTTCAGTTCTCCGAAAGCTCGCGCAAAGCCTTCCGCAATGTCGTCATCATCGTCACCACGCCACAGTCTTCACCATCACCAAAGAGTGTTGCAGGAGGGTCGCCTAAGATGTAGCTCATACAATCTGCACCATTGGTTTGCGGCCGCGACGGCTTTTTCAGCTTCAAGAAGACTCTTGCAGATTTTGACCCAATATGGCGAAGCCACTTGGTTGCATCATGTCGTAGTTGTAGCCTTTTCGTGTCAGAAATCGCGACCGATCCGAGGAGTGGCAGCCTAAAGAGGAGGTTTCAGGCCCTCTCTCTGAGACTTCTTGGCAGTGCCCTGACTCCCTGTCCCAACGTCTTGCCCAATGAAGGATGCAGATGGAACTCAGATCGAGCTGAGCGGCAAGGAGCTGGAACATACAGGATCCAAAGAAGGCCATGCCCCGCCGCGCCCCGCCGCAACGCCTCGCTGGGCCTCCCCGTCCCCATGCTTCGCAGCTTCGCGCTTGCCAAGTAGAGAGTGGAAGAACGCACAGGCGATGCGCAGAAGCAGACAGATGAGTTTGCAAAGGCCTGCTGGGAACAGCCAGTGACCGCATGCGTCGTGCACCCGATTCCAGGCCATCGCGCAGGAGCACATGCATGAGGCGGGAAGCGGGTTGATTCCATCACGTAGTCTATGTCTAAGCAGAGCAAGTCCAGCCGCCGGAAACACAGGCTTCGCAGAGACTCAGGGACCACCTTGGTCAGCGAATCCGATCTTCTGTCTTGAAATCGGTTTCCCCACAATTATCGTTTGCCCTCTGTGATTCTGGCGCTGCCAGCACGACGTACGCCAAAATGCCCCATGTTACGGAGTTGTGATCATTTCGGACAGGTGCCGGACAGCCACAAGCCTTTTGTGGGCGCTCAGCCCAAGCTGCTGAAGATGCCAAGAATAGCTGACGGTGATGCCGCCTGGCAAGAGTAGTTTGGCGATGGGCGCACTCTGCCAGCCCTTTGAATTCCGGACCCTCTGAGGAAAGCTATCGGGCAACTCGAGTTGCCTGCCAAGCAATCACGGCGGCCATCAAAGGAGCCGACGGAGTCGTGGCAGTCTTCGCGCAGGACTGCGAGCATGCCGAAGTTCCTGGTGCGAGCATGAACGTAATGGAACATCTGTTTTAACACATGGCAAGACCAGCGACTCGCAGGATGCGTCCGTGTCGGGCGACTGCAAGAGCCTCTTGGAGCACTGCTCCGCGACTCGGTGGAGTTAGCCTTCGCAGAAGCGGCGTCCCTGAATGTTGGCGGCCAAGGATTCCAAGGACATCATCGAGAAGGCAGGGAGCATCAGGAGAGAAGATGAGGACTTTTGAAGAGATTCGCGGTAGTCCTGCCAGGCCAAGGTCCATGTCGCCCCTGCGACCGACTGGCAGCATACCATCCCAAACACGCAGAGCAAGCATCCAGCTCAGAAGTTCATGTGCTTTGATTTATAGGAGTGGCGTTGCGGCTTTGCCCCGAGGTTCGGGGCCGTTCCTCGGGCTGCCGAGGGCGACCGCTTGCTCATCTACGTAGGACCGGGCGGAGCAGACTCACGCACTTAGAGATGGGGTCTAGGGCGCCGTTGCAGGAACGCCGGGGAAGTATGCGACCATGTGCCTGCGGTCAGATCACGGCCAGTTCGATGCGGCCTACCAGGCACAAAAGGGTGAGACCACAAAGCAAGTCAGCAGAGGCTTCGGGGGCCTGCCATGGCTTAGGATTTCGGGAGGGTGCGCAATTATCTACTTTTCATCCCGATGCATCGTTTTAATGCCTTTGCAGACACTGTTCGGCAGGCAGATCGCCTCATCGTTCTCTGCAAAGGAGTGGCTTGGACTGCAAGACAGGCGTCAGCTGTGCACATCCTCTGCTCCAAGTCTTGGCTGGCAGGTTTGCATGCTTCCAATCGGCACGCAAGAGCAGAACATCCTCGGTGTTGACGAGAAAGAGGCCCAGTGCCAGCCGTGGTGAAGCTCGTGTCACGATGCTTCACATCCTAGTTTCAATGCTAGCACGAAAGCCTGCATTTTTGTTCCATTGGTTCTTGTATTTTTTTCCGGGCCGCGCTGCTTCCAAGCAAGCAAAGCAAGCAAAGCAAGCAGGCAGGCAGGCAGGCAGGCAGGCAAGCAGGCATGCAAGGCAGACAGGCAGCCAGCCAGGGCAGGCAAGGAAGCAAGCAAAGCGAAGCGAAGCGAAGCGAAGCGAAGCGAAGCGAAGCGAAGCGAAGCGAAGCGAAGCGAAGCAAAGCAAAGCAAAGCAAAGCAAAGCAAAGCAAGCAAACAAGCAAGCAATTGATACATACATACA